GTACTACGGTTACGGTTCGTACTTAGAGCTTTTTTTGGACCTCCCGTACGTACAACACCAGAAATCGACCCGTACGTGCCCCAAGATAGCTTCAAACGTACCGTATTACGGTACGTTGGGAACGCTGTCTGGGTAGGCCATAAGCCAAACTTTCCAGCTAATACATAATGACAATTTCACATGTCAGGAGACAATCACCGCTGCATGTCATCCTTTTCTTTAGTGCTTAACTACTCGTTCTCTTAACAGATGATAAGATCCCTATAGCGGGTAATTCACCAAGTTTTTAGCAATCTGTGATCCAGAAAAGCAAGAGTGTATTGAAATTAGGTACAGTGAGTCGCAAATTGCGAAATACAGTATAACAGAGATAGGAGCGATGTGAAGGTCACTTGTCGTCTCAGTAACCCCCAAGATTACTTAGAAAGATGGCTCCATGTTTCAGATAACCATCTCTACTGGCAGTAAAGGTCGGAGGTCTTGCTGTCGAAGGGGCATGAATCAGGAGCCATGACAGCGAGCTGGGTCGAGTTAGCGGATTGCTATGATCGGGAAGCTTGTAACAGTGACTCACGTTGATGTAACCACCGTCACCCTCAGAGTTGAAGTGGTTGTCAGGGCCCCACATGAAGAAGCAGTCATAGTCGGTGTTGAGGACACCAGACTTCAAGCGGACAGAGGTGAGCTCGCGCATCTGGTTAGGCTTGGAGACCTTGTAGCCCATGTTGTAGCAGACAGCGGCCTCGTTGGGCTTAGCGCGCCTGGACATCTCGGCGGTGGTAGCCTTGGTGAAAGCCTCACGAGCCTGAGAAGCGACAAAGTTAGCTGGGAATCTGGGTATGGTGGATAGGGAGTGCAGCTTACAGCAGTCCAATCGGCAACGTTCTTGATGGTGTTGAGAGCCTCAGTTGCGGAAACACCGACAACGGCAGAGGCAGCACCACCAATGATGGCGATGGTAAGAGGGTCAAGACGCTTGTTCAGGGATCTCTCCTCAACTGTGCCGTTGTGAGGGTGGATAGGGGCAGTAGGGACAGCAACGGCGGCGCCGGCGAGGAGAGCGGTGACGAGAGTGAACTTCATTTTGAATGAGTGATGTAGCGAGTGAATCGGCTAGTAAATGAGGGAGTGTTGCGGTAGTGGAAAGGACTGAAGGCTTGAATGCTGTGATGATGAGTACTAGAGAGTACTTCCCCGTGTCTTATATACCCATCGTCTTGCGCCGATCGCGAACACATGTAGCAAAGATGAGTTATTCGGTCAAACTCTCGTTGTGATGTTGGTAAAGCCTTCAACCCTGAATCCGCCATGTGGGCTGTTTCCATGAGGCTCTTGGCTCTAAGCTTAGAGTCGTGAGGCTGATCGGCTTGGCCAGGGAGATTACCGATATGTCTTGCAGATATGTCGCAAACACCTGGTATCCGGTAAGACGTCAGGCTTTTTAAAGTTCGGTTTGATCTTATGTTTCCAGCACTTCTCACCAGCAAATGTCAACCATATACCTACTGCAACGCACTTTCACTGCGATCAGATGCTTGCGGTAGGCGTTTGCTGCGATTTGGATCGCATTTGGTTTCAATATTCATCGCATAGAAACGCGACGTCATCACATCCCAGGTACCCCAGAATCCAAGATAGTGGTTATGCGGTTAACTTACTCGAGTAGGCCGTGTGTCGTGGTTTACCCTTGGCGTCAGCATACTGTACCCGGGGACGCGCCGAATACCCGCTACTAACCACAACGAGGTGAGATCGACACCGAGAATTAAGCCGTATGGCCATTTCGGTGATTCTCATATAAAAAACGTATTCTTTCTGGCGCAATCTGCTGACATACGCTAGGGTCTGTACCGATTCAAACCGATCGAACAGCCTCAAAACAGTTGCAATGGTTGCTTGGCACAGTACGCAGGTACGTACCACGTGCGTACGTGCGGTTATCACAATCATAGCAAGCACACTGGCTATCCCTAATGACTACTGTGATCGTCCGTTCTACTGCTGGCTAATCATGTTAGTGCTATCACCTCGAGGCAGTTCTGTGATTCTACATTCTCAAAGACCAATGTGGTTAGCAATGTCAACGTGTATCGCCTCTATCTCGATGTCTAGTATGAGATTCTCCACCACGCCCCTGAGCTTACGGCACGTTAGTATCGCTCGGTCTCGGGAACGATTCGTTGTAACTTGAGTAGAGAGAAACGCATCTGAGGAAGATTTGTCGCATCGACGCTTATGGCACCCATGGGCCGCTGCTAGAGCCTGCTCTTCGCGGAATGTTTTCTTTTGGGGTCGCAAGGCTTTGAATGTTGTTGTATGTAGAAGCTGTATATCGGGGGGAACGTATCTACCATGGATACGGGTTGGTGGGGTGAAGCGGGCCGGGGAGAAACAACGAGCGATCGTCATGAAGTGTGGATCAGTCAATAGCTAGGAAGTTAGACACAAAACCGAAAAACATGGAAGGTTAGTAGAGACATCAACAATACTCTCGCCCACCCCTAACAACGCTCTCTCCGCATATTCTCGAACATCTTTACCAATTTCTGTGCCTCCACTTCGTCGCAAATCTTGCCTGCTTCGAGCTTCTGCGAGAACTCTATGTGCTGTGCCACGTCAACGTTAGTAGCAAGGATATCGGTACCTTCAGCGAAGTCTTGCCACTGCTTTGAAGTAACACCCCGAAGATTTCTTAGACTCTGTCCAAGAAGAAGCTTCACTCGGTCGAACTGCGCAATGGAATGCTTCCCATCATTGATTGGAGCGTTATTCTTCGCTGCTTCGATTTCGTACTCGGCGTCTTCATGCCACTTTTTGAAGAGCTTAACGAGGAAGTGATCATCATATTGTGGCTTGAGTGGTGGGTTCATAGGTGTTTCTCGTATGGACGTCAAGCGTGAAGTGTGCCGGCTCGTTGATTGTAATGGGAGTATTGCAAGTCCTGATGTCAGTATTGTCTCCGCCGACTCTTCATCTTATTTTCTGCCATGCTCAGCAAGCGCGACGAAGTCTAGATACGGCACTCCTTCAACCCATTCCTCACGTGGGAAGGGCTTCTCGTAGAAAGCGTCTCGTGCGGGAAATCTAGTTGTCCCACGCTCTCAAGCCACTTAGCTCGCGGCCAACGCCTTTCATGCCGCTTCGCTCGTGCATTGAGGTCCATAAACGGGATGTATTTCGGCCACTTTGCCCGTGGCCCAAGCTCTTCTTGGTGATCCTTGAGCGCCGTGGAGTTCCAAGTACGGAACGGACGGCAGCCAGCGCGCTCTTGGCCAGCTTTTCTCTTGGTAGACTGCCAGAGCTGTTATGTTCAAGTAAGGCACTTCTGTTAGCCAGCTTTCCATGGTGTAAGCCTTGTGGTAGATATCTTCCAGCTTTCCAGGACAGCCTCTGAAAGCCGATCCAATCTGCTGGTGTGACTGAACTCGAGTTGGCGACGTATCGGCCCATGAGAGCACAAGACTGTTTTTTGAGTCAAGCAACGCCAATTCTGAAAGCGCGCACTTTGCGCCGCATCCTAAGAGCCTTGATGTCGTGTGCGCGCCGTGCCTTGCGCTTCGCCATTATGATCTTCATGTAGTGAACGCGCTTCCTGTACTGTTGTAGTCTAGTAGGCCAGCGCGAGACAACGCTATTGAGCCGGTATTGAAGGCGTAGACGCTCGAAGCTGACACGATTTCATCACGTATAGTGCTCGAACCCGCAGCCTTAGTAAAGTCAGTGTCATCGAAAATAAATAGAAGCGCCATTACCGACCATGTTTGGATGCTTGGCTATATAGATAGCGAGCCGAGATAGCCGACTAGGTGGCCGAAGATGGAACGAGAGCTGAAGTGTCAGTGAAGTGACCATATTACCTTCAGGCTGCCACGCCTTCGACATTGGTATCATCTGTGTCATAGTTATCGCGAACCCCTTAAACATGTCTACTTTGCTGTACGTAGTACAGTACTGTTTCCATCTATAATCGTCGTAGCAAAGAAGCTTTTGTATTATATGTCATGTTAAGACCCAGGTCGGATTCCAAAACGACGTCATATGTCAAGCGTATGAGTGATACCATACGAGAAAAGAAAGGGGATAATGCTGATCGCGTGAACAAATTCAATTACCTAGTGTATTTCTGTTACTAGGCTTATCAAAGCTTCAGTGCTATATGGAGTAGCCATATAGGTGGTGGCACAACTACTGCCATGAGCTGCTCAGACTGGCACTCGCCTGGCATTTGGGCACAGTGTAGCTCCTGTTAGGATCACTCTCCCATGTGATCGTTCCACTGCTGCTGATCTTCACAAATTTGTATTGGATGGCTGAACCTGCTGCCAATGGCACGGTGATCGTCCAGACCGGGTTGCTAGTGGTGTAGCTGCTTGCGGAGAGAGTAAGGCCGCTGGCAGGTCTCCAGTTACCCAGCTGCGCAGTGTTACCGGTGATCTTGATAGTGTCGCCAGGAACAGTGGTGATGCGGTGGGTGAAAGAAACCGAAACAGCTGTTGGGCATGCAGTTGATGTTCCAGTAGCAGTGGCAGTCTTGGTGGTAAGAGTGGTTCCAGTGGTGGGCGTAGCAGCGCCAGCAACAAGAACGATGGGTTCGCCATTGCTGACTGTCACACAGATCTTACCGCTGCCGTCGGCAGTAACAGCAGCGCCGTTTCCGTAGACGTTGCTCCATTTTCCGTTAGCCTTCTGGGTGTTGAAGCAATGTTGCTGGTTGGAACTGCTTCCAGCGTTTGTGGTGAGAACGATAAGGTTGCCACCTGCGCGGCTCCAGGCGTAGGCGTTGTCCGCTACATACAAGTGGGTGTGATCGTTACCGGCAAGACCTCCTGCAGACTTCCTTGCAGCAGTCAGCTTCTTGATGGCCTGGTAGAGATTCGCGTTAGTGTTGAAGCCGCTTCGCCAGAGGTCTTCTCGGTTGGCTGGGTCGTCACCACCGGCATAGCCTTGTTCGGTACCATAGTAGAGGATGGGAATTCCTCGCGCGAGGATGACGTAAGCAAGGGCGTTCTTGAGCAGAGTCTGGTCGTTCTTTACGTTCAACCAACGCTTGTTGTCGTGATTGTCGAGGAAGGTGCCGAGAGCGGATGGGTCAGGGAAAGTGTTGCTGACGGTGTTCATCATGTCTACAAGCGCCTGAGCGGAACCGGTCTGTTGGTAGAAGTTGTTCATGGGGTAGTAGGTCGCGTAGTTCAGAAGACCGGGCATAAGCTTGGCGTACTCAGCAAGGTAAGTCGGGTTGCCATCGAACACTTCGCCGATGCTGTACACGCCAGTTGCAGCAGAGAAGCCAGGCCAGAAGTCTTTCTCAACGTGCTTGACGGTGTCGATTCGAACGCCATCGAAGCTGTATTCCTTGACAAGCCAAGAAACCCAAGTGTTCAACAGGCTGCGGATCTCCGTGGACTGAGTGTTGATGTCCGGGAGACCGGCAATTTGGCACTGCTCGATACTGCCCTGGTTGCTGTAGTTGATATCGCAGGCGGAGTGGTATGAGGATTGCTGGTTTAGTGGCGAAGGCTTGTTGTTGGTGATCGCACCTGGGCCCATGTGGTTGGCCACAACATCGACCATGACATAGATGCCCTGTAATGGATGAGTATACTTGTAGTATGGGTGTCATCTGGATTTGCCATACCTTAGCATGAGCAGTGCTGACCAAGCTCTTCAAGTCGGCAGCAGAACCGTAGTTTGAGTTGATCGAGTAGAGATCCTCAGCCCAGTAGCCATGGTATCCAGCAGCCTTGTCTGGGCGTTTGTTAGTACGAATTCTCTGTAGATGTTGACGGGGAAAACGTGCTTGCAACGACCGGGGTGATCCAGATGGCATCGAATCCTAGCCCTTTGATGTAGTCGAGTTTAGACTCGAGACCCTTGAAGGTTCCGCCGCAGTAGTTGCCAAGATTGCTGCATGCTCCGCCGCCAGTATCGCTACTGCTGCGAGCGATGCGGTCGGTGAGAACGAAGTAGATGCTGCGAGACTTCCAGGCGCTCGTGTCGGCAGCTGCGACAAGAGAGGTGAAGTAGAAGAGAGCAGTTGTGATGAGTTTGAAGAACAACATCTTGACCGACTCGATGCTTTTGCAAGCGGAGTGCTGAAGTCGTCAGGCTGTGATGTTTTCGTTCTGGATGAGGCCGGCCACTGGATTTATAGACGTGCCACGAGTGGGTATCACAAGGCCATACGCAGTCCCTCCGCTTACCCCACAATGTTTTGTAGACTCCGAATCGCGCTTGCCGGACGTTGCGGGTGACTTCAGCGCCTGTTCGCGATGGTCGCGGATACTAAGAAATCGAAGCGTAGACGAAGAACGATGGTGTCGCGTCGGTCCGTCATGAACCCACTGAAAAAAGTGTAACTAGATGATCATCTTACAGTTGGCGATCTCTCGGGCCGAGTTGGAGGCGTCAAGTGTACCTCGTGGACGTCTGAAACATATCGGTGGATACAAGAGAACGGTCAGAGACCCGGATCAGGAAGCTGCGGAGTGTTTAGCCATTGGGTTTGCCGTCTAGGCTGTAGTATTGGCGGAAGCACGCGTCGCGCTGTTTTCGCGTTTTGGCCCTAGGGTGAACTAGAGGCTAGGAAACTTCAGGGGAAATGAAGGAGGTTGCAGGGTTGAAATGATGATGCCAACGTAAGCGAGGTGATGTGCCTCGGGCCCCGGGCGTTAGCGTCATCATCACGATGGCGGAGCCCCGCATTCCGGTACTTAGCAACGTGCAAGTCAATTTAAGGTGCGGGCCGGATGCGTTTTGAGGTCTGATGACCGTCTTCTATACCCGCCAGCACGGCCTGAACTTGCTGACACGCATTCATGCCGACAGCGAACCAATGAACGTTGAAGAGTTTTTCCGACCACGACCAAGTTGGCAAGTCGCCGAAGAACGCTAGATGCTTCTATTAGAGCATGCACAGAAGGCGGATGGTGTCCGGTATCTAGCTCATATACCCAGTCGACGAGGCCTGGGTTTGAGGATTTCCACGAATCCACGTGTTTACGGAGATTTCAAAAAACCTGGAGCCGGACTTAGCAACGGATGACAGGGCGAAAAAACCTGGAGTGCAGGTCTTGGAGGGCGGTAGCCATGTCAAGAACATATCACAGCCCTTTCAAGGCACCGCTTGATCAACGAGCCGACATCGATCCAATCAAAGCTAAACGTGTTACACAGGCATACGGAAAATTCAAGATCGCAGGCAAAGAACAAAACTCTCGTCTTGTGTTAGTATCTCCAGCGTTGCTCCTAGATCATTCGCATCTTCCGATCTATTGCTGTCTCAAGGTAGTCGACACTGTACTACCGAGAAAGCTAGATCCGTTCAAACCACCATATTCACAATCTCTTTACCTTCTCCAACAATCTCTCCATCCTCACATCCAGCTCCTTGACTACATCCCATGGCCTTAGTCCTCGCCCTACACCCACGCCCATAACCTGCGAATATACACTCGCCCAAGCCGGATACTTCTCTCTCGGGTTTCTCGGCATGCATTCGTCCCTCCATTTCCGTTCTTCTCTCACCAATAGATCAATCCGCGCTAGCAACAGATGAATTTCTCGTAACGTGGGAACGCTAGCTGCGCGGCCGATAGTATGATGTTCTGAAGGGGGCAACAAGCCTTCAGCAGCTTTCCATCGCGCTTCAGCTGCGAGGGCTAACTGGTCGAGGTCTGAAGCGCGTACAGTGAGTGAGTGGAGAAGGTCATCGTGTTCAGCCCAAGCGATATCGTCGTGAGGGGTGGTTGGTGGAAGGCTGAGCGGGTGATTGGTTAAGCCTTGGGGCGCGGAGGTTGAGGACCGTGGTGTTTGTGTTGTAGGGTCTCGAGATTGTGCTGATGAACGATGCGTGAAGACTGTGGAGTAGGGCGCAAAGTCTGAGGTATGTGGTGATGCGCTAGCGGTAGAGTAAGGTGGCTGATCAGAGATACGTGCGGCTTGTGCAGATAAGCGGGAATCGTAGAATAATGGTTTTGGTGTTAGGGTTGACGTGTGTGAGGTTCGGTGTGAGGAATGAGAAGTTTGAACTGGAGATGGCGAGGCTTCCTGCGAAGAGCGGGAACTCTGACTATGTGAGCCAGCTGAGGGATGAGCAGATACTCTGGATGAAAATTTCCGAAGCATTTCGCAAGGTCGTGTTATGTATTTGTTAGGACGACTGTTACACATTGGGAATATTGTAAGAATACTGGGAGTAATGAGGTGGCGGAAGCGCGAAATTCACTGTGCTCTATCACTGATCTTAGCTGTTTACATACAAAGTGTACTTGTGAAGTGAGTGACGCGGAACTATATTGAATGTTGCCAGGAGTATCTCAACAACATGGGCGAGAGAGCTCGTATTATAATCCTCTACCGTAAAGGTATTCGTGATGTTTCACTCACGCAGTTGAACAGGATGTAGGATAGCGTATACGCTTACCTAAGATATTGAACACAAGTTGTTGATGTGGAGTTTCTTCGCAGCAGCCTAACGCAGACCATCAGTCAAGATCAATAGGAAGCCCAGACTTGTCAACAATCAAGCCAGCTTGATCGCTATCAAGCTGGCGCATCAAGCTGGCTATTCAATCAAGCCAAGCTGGAGTAGAGGTACAAATCAATCAAGCCAAACAATCAAGCTCATTGATTTCAACCCATCAAGCCAATCAAGCCAAGCTGGGGTACTCAGCTTGCTTGGCTTGATTGTTGACAAGTCTGAGGAATCCAAGGTCGCCTTTACTCTGTACACGTGGATGTAGATATCCCATCTGTGCGCAGGCGATGTTGGTCTCGATGAGAACCATCATGTTGACGATCGCCAATTCGTGTGCGCCGCGAAATGGAGCCAGCGTTGTCATTGCGATACCTCGCAACGAGCTGTCGAATTCTTCTATGTCTGGGAAGATAGGTCCGCCGAGAGAGGAGAGACCTGTTGTTCTCATATGCACGTAACATGACCCGAGCACTCGCCAAGTAGATGAAAGAGTACAGCAGCAATTGTGTCCACTAGCCAGAAACTGACTGCACGTGGAGCGTACCTGGAGCAGATCGCGTCACTCCACGCCTAATATATGTAGGATGAACGTTCACTGACAACTTTGCCTTCTTGTTTCTCTTTGAGCGACATAGGAATACTCACGAAATAATGGTAAGTACCGAAGGTCATCCGCGGAAGTTTCCGGGTGTGGCATCTGTGGGGTGCTTTCTGTCCAGCATTCACTCTGTACACGTGGAAGTAGATTTGCATTGTGCATATGCTATGCTTGGCTAAGGTACATGAGATTGAGGTCAAGACTCCATATATAGAAGGTAAATATGCCAGTGATAGTCACGCGACAATGCTGACGCTAATTGCCCGACTCCATCTGCTTCCTCCACTCCAGGACGAAGGCCCTGCCTCGGTCCATACGCGCCTTCATTCCTGGAGGCATCGGGCCAAAACAAGCGGGCCTTTGTCTGCGGCGGTTGGCATGCGTGAGCTTACGTCGCTTCGACGCCTGTTCCTCCTCTGTCGACGAATGTTCCTCCTCCTTCTTTTGTTCCTCCTCTTTCTTCTTGAGCTCGTTGCGCTCTCGCTTCTCTTCGAGTTCTTCTTTTGTAAACCGCTCCGCGTATGGGATTCTCTTGTCTTGTCCCTCTTGGCCAGTCTTCTTTAGAAAGTTCATATATTCGAAGTCATACCAAACAGAAATGCCTATCTTGCCAGTCTTACGCATGGTGGTGACGATCGAAGCTGGTATAGGGATCCTAAGGCCTTGAGCCTTGGACAACACAACCGCCATCTGCTTGGCTTCTTCAGCCGATTCCTTGTACGAGAAGTCGAAAAACTTGCGTGTGAGCTCTCGCGTGTTGAGGACGGCTGCGTTGGGAGGTGACACGGGCGTACCTGGGTTGCTCCCACCCGGTTGCGTTGGCGTCTCAGCTTTCTTTGGACTCGGCTTCGGCTTGGCCTCCGGCTCATTCTTGCGCTCCTCTTCTTCTTTTTGCTCCAGCTCTGTCTGCAGCTCGTCGCTGTATTTGATCTTGTATACCTTGACAGGGAAGTCTTCAAGCTGTTTCCCTTCCTTGTCGTGGACGGTCAACGCAATATGCATCCTTCGGTCATCGAGAGGTTCCTGGTTAAATTAGTGTTGGCTTCAGGCAGGCTGGTGGGACCAAGCGGGTTGCGTCTTACCTTGTTTGCCATCTTGGTTTCTGTGATGGATCGTGTGACGTGGCGGCTGCTGAAGCGTATGACAGCACTGTTACCTGATCTGGGTATACAATGGGATACGTGCTAAGGTGTGTGATGTAAGAAGAATGGAGTGAAGGGCAGGATGAGACGCGGTTTTGTATCGTCCTTCCAGGGTCCAGGGTGAGAGAGACGAAGTGTATCGCTATTCATGCAGAGTTGCGAGACCCACTTCCATGTGTACAAGTGAAGGTGACTTTGAGTTTTGGATTTTCATGACAGCTGCCTAGACAGTCTGCACAGTATGAAAACTCAGCCACATATTTTGTACATCTTAGACCTTCTTATTGATAGTCGCTGAGCTTCCTCGTAGATGCGCGGCTTATCATCTTCCATTCAGTGAGATTCGCAAGGTCAGCGTCGTAGTCTCGCGTACTCATGGTCTGCAATGTTCCATGTGGACTACGAGCTTGTGCACTTAGAAGTATTTGATGGTATAGTAACTATCCTCCGGCTGGCTCCGTTGGGTATCGTCCTTGAGTATGCAATAATTCCAACTTGTTCCGTCCCGCTCCTACTTCTTGTGCACCAAACACAACAGCGACGCAAAGGGATCAACACCGTTACTTTCAGTCTTGGCCTTCTTCGAATCCTTCTTCTTGGAGATGGTCGTAGCCAATGCTGGAGGCAGCTTCACAACAATCTTTTCTCTTGTCATCTCCATCTGCAGCATATGCCTCTGAGTGCTTTTGTCCACGGACTTCTTGATCTCTTCCTCTGCTTGCCCCAGGCCCTGGGCAAGATCCTCAGTATAACCGACTTTCTTTCCAATCCCAATGCCGTGCTGCGTTCCGAGTTCTTTGCCTTGCACCAGTCCCATCTTCAGTCCTTCTGCCTGCCCCTGTTCAAACCCGACTGCCAAGCCTTCCGTGATGCCGGTACTTCTGCCCTCCTTGATGCCTTGAACGTATCCATAGTCTTTTCCAGCATCAAACCCACGATCGTAGGCTTCTTTGCGAGCCTTGGGCAGTAAATCCCAAAGGGATATTGTTGCTGCGTCGGTCTGTACTGCGCATGAAGCTGTCAAGGCGGAGGTTTGGGTAGCCTGTGAGACCGAATTGGCTGTGCCAGGATTAATGAGGGGTTATAAAAGAGTTTGGTGTGCATACTGGCATTGAAAAGGCGCAGGAGCGTCTCGTAGATCGCAAGCTATCCAATTAGCGAAGGCAGATGACAAGCCAATACAAACTCGCCTGAGTCTGCTTCAGCTGCACCTCATCGAGGCTTTGGTCTTCTTCGTGAAGACCCGCGAGGAAAGTCTCAAGCGAGACACGATTGCGCTCGATCTTGTTGGCCTCGTGGACACGATCGAGCAGAACTTGTAGGCGGTCTGATGTGGGCATCATTGGCATGCTGTAAGTGTAGTGAGGTTGTTGAGAAGGCAAGAGATCGGGTTAGGTAGAAGGAGCTGTCAACAAAGCTAGGGCTTGGCGAGTATCAAACAGGTAGGCGGCATGGAGACGGCTTCACCTCTCATCGGGTATCATTATACGATAATCCATCCTAAATCACTCGAGTGGCTCGATTTACAGTTTGTTTGACTTCCGCAAAACCTGTCAAGGCATCCGTGCTCCGGTATGATTTGCATCTACCGCGGAACATCATGATCCACGACTTCTACATTGTTCCTACACTGATCAGATGGATACAGTAACCATGGACTGGCGACGACGCTTACCCGACAGGATCCATCACAAAGGCGGCATAGTACTTGGCATGGTACTGGTGCCTCCATCCCGGCTTTCCATTGTCTTTCCCACCTGCTTTCACCGCCTCTTCATGGAATTCTTCCACCGTCTTTCTATCTGTACACCGGAACGCGACATGAGTAGCAGCTGCTTCTGCATCCTCCTTGGCGGTAATAAAGAAAACGATGTTTGACCTGTCCGGACCTAAACCGACACTGCGGTTATGGAATTCCTTCTGTTTGCTGTAACCAAGCGGCGCGAGCGCGGTCAGGTACCAGGCTGTGACTTCTGCGAAACGCGATGTCGGAACGGTGATGCCAATGTGGTCAAGCATCGTAGAACATACGAAAGGAACAAAGGGGTATCTGGTGTATGAAGTACTACCAGAGGCCTACGTATTTAACAGAACGATGGACCTCAAGACTGCTTACTTATCAACCGCAATTGATACGGCTTGGAAATCCGGATAGAGGCTGAGTGCGGGGCTTACTAGTCCATTTGCTCAGTAAGCACACGCGAAACCAGCTGCTTCTCAGGTGTCAGACTCGCGTATGACCATTGGGCGCAACTTTCTCTCAAGACAGAAGAAAATGTAAAATCTGAATTGACATTCAATCCAAAGCAACGTAGACGGACATGCGTATGAGGAACCATACAGAAAACTGACTAATAATACAAACATAGCACATGCTATACAATTCCAAACGGTTCGGCTCCGCGAGCTGCTCGTCTGCGGTACAATTCCTTCATAATCTCCATTTGGCTGCACCGCGACTAATAGTCAAACCGATCTGGCAGCACGAGAGGAGCGACCAACGTCCATGTGTAGATGCCGTAGCAAACCCATGCGCTGATGATCTTCGCCCAGCTGGCCCAGTATGTTCGTCCAACGGGGACGAAGCTACCAGACACATCCTTCTCGTCGAAGTTGGTGGTGAGGAGAGTAGCGACCCATGTTGTGCTGAGGAAGAAGATGATGTGGAAGAGAGTGTAGTTGTATTGCGTCGCGTTGCGCTCGTCATCGCGCGGGTTCTTCTTGCTAGAGGGCTCATCGTCCTCGTCCTCGCTGTCTGAGTCGTCGAGAGCAGAAGCAGGAAGCGAACCGGACTCTACAGCGGCGCGCAAGGCAGCTTGGCGCATGTCACGGCGTGATTCAGGTTGCTGTGTGACGAGACCATGCTCGTAGTCTTCAGTGCCGACTTGAGCGTAGCCGTTTCCGTGAGGGTTGCCCTGGGCGCCAAGAGCGAGGCCGTACGTTGCTGCACGGGTGGTGGTGTAGGCAACAGTGACGAAAGTGACAATGGCGCCGATGATGATAGTCGCCTTACGAGTTCCACGGGCACGGATCAAGGGGTTGCATTGATGGTCGTCAGGTTCCATGCCCACAGCGGACAAGGTGAGATAAGTGCAGTAGACGGCTACAATGGCGGACTGGGCGAGACCTGCTCGGGGGTTGACGTCCTGTACTGCGGGGTGAATCGATGCGACGGATGAAATCAGGAGCAGGATCAAGTTGATCTGTTGAGGTCAGCCAGCTTCGGAAAACATAGAGAGTTGCACTTACCGTGATAGCTGCCTGGTTCATGCCACATCCGCTCTTCGCAAAGAAAATGTACATGATTATGGTCATGGCGATCGAGGCGAGGTACATGGACATGGCACTACCAACAAGCATGCCTGTCCAGACGCGCGACTCGGTAGTCTCAATCTTCTCCTGGCAGTATTCGGCCCAGTTATGCGCCAGATCGACAAGCAGAATGAGTCCAATGAGAAGGAACAGACACGCGCCAATCATGGCAAAATAGTTGCCCCAGACGATGAAGAACGAGTTAGGGATGAAAAAGGTCAGAACGATCATGCCAATCCAGCCCATGATCTTGGGAAGCCAGAAACCGTTCTGTATGGTCGCGCGACCGTCCTTGGAAGACCGTACTCCGATGAGCATAAGCGCCATAATGACGTGGAAGAAACCGAGCGCGAAGTTGATGCGCTGTACTGCGACATATCCGTAACATTGTTCGCCGTGGCATTTGATGTCGACATAGTCCAGAGTGAGGTGAGCCAGCTTCTTCATGGCCCAGTCGGTGAGCATGATCCATGAAACAATCGAGTTGACCAGAAGGATGAGCGCGTATGCGATACGGGTGGCGATGCTACGCGACAGTCAGTACACATTCGTACATACCGCCCAACGCTCGCAAGCCGTACCTGTTACCGCATTTCCCTCCGCAAGAGCCCATGACGGCGCTGCATGTCGCGGCGCCACAGCAGGAGGCGGCAACGCTCCAAACCTGGCCATGTTAGCGGCGCGCAATCGCGATGGAGCGTGTCAACATACCGTACCCATGGCGGGCATGGCCAGAAAGGGTACAGATAGTAAGGCGCCCATGATTGAGATGCGCTGAGTCGCCTATGTGGTGTTGTGGAGAAGCTGGGGAGGCACGAGGATGAGGCCGGTGACGTTCGCGCGCTTGCATTGCGGCTCCTTCCGCCAAGTCCAGCGCCTTGGCCGCCTTATCTCCGATCAGCTGCAATGGCCATGCTTCACTTGCACTCTCCCATCCACTCTTCAGACATCGGTGTGGTGTCTCGGGGCCCGCCTGACTTTGTGTTTGTTTCGTACTATAGACTTCCTTCACGTCGCTCTTTTCCGTGCGCCTTATCTTGCATATCTTTACCTGCGGCATCTGCTTCTCGGCTTAGCAAGTGCCGATATCAGCTCCAGTCCGCTGCGATTGCGCAACTCGACGTCTCCCGCATTCGATGATCAGCACATTGCAATAACACCTCATTCACACTGACCAAGATGGTCGCCGAAGAACAGCCCTCCACACACAAGAAGACGCGCATTATTTCTGTTGTCGCTGCGACCGCAATCGCGCTTGCCTGTGGCACAAATGTACGTCTCCGTCATACATCTGAAGCGGGATGCTAATGAGCCTCAGTATGCCTACTCAGCATGGGCACCACAATTCGCCGATAAGCTTCAACTCTCCGCGACCCAAAGCAATGTCGTCGTATGTCACCCTATATGCCGCCCAAATACGAACTTCGTCTTACACTCCTAGGGCACGGCTGCCAACTTGGGCATGTATGCGTCTGGCATACCCATGGGCATCATAACGGACAGGAAGAGCCCCAGACTTGCCGCCATTATTGGCACGTTTGCGCTCTTTGCAGGCTACTATCCCATCAAGCTTGGTAGGATATCCCATACCCGGTTGTTAGATCAACGTCTAACTGTTGGCAGCGTACGATGGAGGCCCAGGCTACATGAGCGTTGCTCTGATATCCTTTTGTTCCTTCTTGAGTGGTGTAGGCAGCTGTGCTGCATTCCAGGCCGCTCTAAAGACAGGTAAAACTCTCGACAACCTTTGGAGGACGTCTGCTGATCTTGGTAGCGACGCTCAACTGGCCAACCCATCGCGGATCGGCCACCGCTTGCCCATTGGCAGCTTTTGGCTTGAGCGCCTTTTTCTACACTCTCATCGCCGGCATAGCATTCCCAGGCGATACCTCCGGACTGCTCATGATGCTTTCTCTTGCGACCTCACTAGTTGTTCTAGTATCGATACCCTTCCTAATCGTCGTCGACCACAAAGCTGGCACTGGCTATGCTGTCCTACCCACCAGCGAACGTGTGCGACGCAATTCCAACGTCCTCCATAAGACAAAGTCCAACGGGACCAGGTACAAGTCATCTGCTCTCCCACAACAGGAAATCAGTAAGCAATCCTTTCCTTTCCCACCTCCGTTTCCCCCCTGTCACCTGCCAACCGCTTCTAGCAGCCGAAGAAGAACAGGATCGACCATCAACCGAAACCTCGTCTCTCTTATCTTCTGGTCCTGGCGACATCATCGACGATGACGACGACGCAGCAAGCAAGAAGTCGACTAAGTCATGTATAGATATCACTGGGCTGGCACCCTTGAGCAAATCAGAATTCTGGCAACTGTGGGTACTCATGGGTCTCCTGACGGGTGTTGGTTTAATGACTATCAAGTACGTATCCTCTGAATCTTGTGTGTCATCATCGCTGATTAGTACAGCAACATTGGTCACGATGTCCAGGCTCTCTGGAAACACTGGGATGACTCGATCAAGAACGATTTCGTCGCTCATCGACAACTTTGGCACGTCTCAATGATCTCACTCTGTTCATTCCTGGGACGTCTATCTTCCGGAATCGGTTCCGATTTCATCGTCAAGAGACTGCATCACTCGCGATTTTGGTGTGCTGCCATTTCAGCCACCATTTTTGCCCTGGCTCAGGTCGCTGCCATCCGCGTTGAAGACCCGCATCATTTGTGGGCTGTATCCGGACTCTCCGGTCTTGCATATGGTGTTTTGTTTGGCGTTTTCCCGGCGCTTGTCGTCGATGCTTTCGGCCCCGATGGCTTCGCTGTCAACTGGGGTTTCATGACCTTGGCACCCGTCGTGAGCGGCAACGTCTACAATCTCTTCTATGGTGCTGTATATGACTCTAACTCAGTGGTGGAACCGGATGGTCAACGCGGATGTGAGCTGGGGCTCAAGTGTTACCGAACGGCGTACTATGTTACTCTCACATCGAGCATATTGGGCATCTTCGCATGTTTCTGGGGTATTTACGGCGAGCATGTAAGGAAGAGGCGTGAGTTGGAAGAGCATGATGGACATAGAGATGCTTGATCTTGTCTCATTATTTCAGGTCAAACTAGTATGGAAGCGACGACAGAACGTATCCTTGAGCCTGCCTACGCCTATTAGTACACTATGGCGTATGGCCATTCGTGTCTCCTCTGTCACGCTGGGGTTGTACCCAGAGATTCGAGCCGTGGCATTCGTTTGACCATCTTCTCGTAGTGTAGATGTTGCCACTATACACGACCCAGTTCATCCTTCCAACATCCACCATCGTTTTTGACAACCGGGTTGAGGTAGCTAAGTCGCACCAGCCTCTACTCTTCCTGTAGCGAACCCAAGCTGAACATCTCATTGGACGAATACAACGAGCACTGCCCGCCTTCATGTATAATGTTCTCATGTCCATAGGATGTTTCGCTTTCTTCTTCATTTACCTCGTGACTGGTACGACAACGACTGCTTGGCTACATGTAGGCTTGGCAGCCGTAGATGTGGCTTCCATACATGCGCTGTGCATGTAAGACACGAAAGATGATGATAATGGCTCCGCAAGTTGGTACAGTCAGTAGTTGAATACATCATATTCTCAGAGAGAAACAGAAATGTAGTTTCTCATCCGGTATCAGCAGGTGCTTTGGGCTTGGCCTTTGATCCGGCAGGTCTCCCCACTCTCGCACAGCGTACGATTGGTGGACGTAATCTAGGACGACCGACAGGGCGCTTCGAGACAGTGGGTACGAGTTCTGGCGGTGGAGGCTTAGATTTGGTCTGCTGACGCTTGGATTTGTCCCTCGATCCTGAGGGCCTTCCTGTAATGTGGCCAGTGGTTGGCACCTTGATATTCTCTGGGATCCGGCCACCGCGTGGAATAGGCTCCCTTTGCGACCATGTTTTCACAGGTCGACCAACAGGTCTAGGCTTCTTGACAACTTTCTCAGCCATCGCTTCCTTTGTAGAACCCTTTGGACGGCCTCGGGGTTTCTTCTCTACTTCGACAACAGGAAGGTCTTCCTCTTCACTGGGTGTAATCTGGCGGATAAGTTTGACGGTTTCCTGGTCAAGAGTGACTCTGTCTGGGAAGATAGGCGAGCCCATCCAGGTCAGCTGGATATCTTTCATGGTCCCTGCATTCTTGAACTTGGCCCGGATCTTCGTTGATACCTTTTCGTCCTCGTCTACTTCCTCCCCAGGCTCGACCAGTAGAGCCCGCGGAGTATGCCTCAATGTGACACCCACTCCTTCTAGTCCTTTTTCGGATGCCATCCGGTTCCAGACGAATTGCTCGATCAATCCTTCCCGAGAAACGAGTACAAATCCCATAGGCCACTGACTCTGTCCTAGAGCCCTCAAGACACCCGTCGTCGCCTTCTTTGTCGTGACCAACAAGCCCATAACATCCTTGTTTCGCCAGGCTGGTGGTATCCCTTGGAACGATCCTTCGAGTTCGCGAATGTGGCCCGGGTTGCAGCTGATTTTGCGTGACTTGCACTGTACGATGATAGGCATGGGTTCTCTTAGAGGCGTCAGCACCCAATGGCCTATCAAATCTATGCCCGCATCTCCCCCACGGCCTACGCGTATGAGGGAGAAGCCTAGACGCATGAGCGCCAGTGCAGACATGTATTCATACAGCGTACCGACAGAGACAGCCGACGCCAATGATCTGCCGGTACGTTCCGCCCATTCGAGGAAAGAAGGAAGCGAGTTGTGATGTTTCGAGCCAGGCGAAACTACCAAGCTGGGGACATCAACGGGTGCGGCATGGCGAGCAGAAGTGGTCGCGATTCGGTGCGAGACGCGGTGCGGAGTAGTCCTGGGGAGCCATGCGAGGATGGGACTTCGTTTGGGCCATGATGGGCGGAGGAAAGGTCGCATCACGGTATCCTGAAAGAGCGCCCGGGGTGTGACATATTTGAAGCGACTTGACGCGGCCGAGGGTCAGAGCCGGTGTCTGGCGTTGGTGAGGGTGGAGTAGAGGGAAGGAGGATTCGCGTATATTTTGAGGGTTCAGTGACGCGCTAGGCTAGCTCCACCGCCATCCCTGCCTGTCGCATCCCACCACTCGTACTCTCTTTCAACAAACATACTCAGTCTGAAGTCGCCAGATCTTTTCCTCTGCTAACCCTCTCGGTATCCCATTGAAAGCGATCGCATCACTCCCCCTACTAGACCCGTACGAACCTGCTACCATGGGCGACATCCTCACTCAAATCCAAGATGAACTGGACATGGTACTGCCCATACAAATAACAGAACGTGTCTCGTGCTGATAAAGACAGCTCCTGAACCAGATGTCAGCAGCTCTACGCGAAATTCGCGAGAGTGCCCCACCAAGCGTTCCCCCAGGCCAACCACGCCTCGACACTTTCGCGGAACTGGAAGCTCGCACCGCTGCCGAAAACGCCCAGCAGAACCCCACGACAGATGCCTCACAGCAGGCAACTGCGCCTCCGGCCAGATCTTCCCCGGAACAGTTTCAAAAAGATCTCAAGGAGCTCGCACAGGACATAACGTTGAAGGAACAGCAGATTGAGAGATTGATCGCACACCTGCCGGGTTTGAATTGGAGCGAGAAGGAACAAGTAGAGAGGATGAAAGAACTCGAGAGACAACTGGAAGACTTGGAGGGGGAGAGGATAAAGGCAGTCAAGGACAAGGACACCTTGATGAAGATTGTAGAAGACAAGATAGCAGGCGTAGGCAGGGTTCGATGAGCTATTGATCTGCCAAAGCACGCATCCTTGGCGACGACAACGGTTTGCATCAAACCCATACGAACTTGTTCCAGTTCGGGTATCATGGATTTAGGGGATTGGGGCTTGAACCTACCGTTAACGGAGCCGCAACAAACATGCTTCAGGAATACCAGGAACCGTCTTCTCGCCAAAACACACCACTCAATGCCCTTGGCGAACTTGACTGAAACTACAACTTCTCTTTGGAGAACGACACGGATACGGACTTGGTATCGCTACGAGGGTGTTCAGGAGTTTGATGACTAAGCACGAACGTATCTACGACGTCCCTTGGGCGGTCGCGGATGCGGAGAGCTTCGACAGGTTTATCGGATCTCAGAGACCAGTGAGCTAGTACATGCCTAAGCTGCTAGCTACACAAGCGGGCCCGCTCTTGCTTGCCAACTCTACGTATACTGTGGCAAATCTCCAGAGCGTAAAAGATGATTAGTGGAGAATGACGTATAGTCAGTTCAACAGCCTAGCAAGCGATAACAGCATGCTTGAATTGCTAGTTTTTGCTCGAAGTGTTGCGGAGGATTTGTTAGAACAAGCGCGGGATCACTGCAATCAGGAGCCATGGACGCAGAAGAGATAAGCATAACAAGATTGTTTACCAACACGGAAGATGCGATGCGCCTCGATCCATCAGACCCGCCCTGGCACCAACTTGTGCCTACCACTTGTACAAAGACATCATAACGTTATGTTATAATCCCTGCACCGACGCTCACTACAACATGTTGCTTGTTCAAGCCTCGCGCTTAGTCGCTCTTCTCGATATCAGTCTTGGACACGATATGATAACCACCAACGTCGTCACTCTTAACCTTGACCATGCCACACTCGCTTAACCACAGGCTATTCACCGATGTATCGACGTCCTCAGCATGGTAAACCTTTTTTGGTGTCACTGATCTCCTTACGATCATGTATTCGGGCTTTCCGCTACTCTTATTCACCTGTCTATCTTCATCATCACTGTCCACTGGCTGCGCAGGCTCGTGGATACTCTCAGAACTCTTGACCCCGAAAAATTTGCCAAACAAAGATGTTATTCTCGATTTTGACTCTTTTCCCGCGGCTGCTCGTTTCGCCGCCTTCTCGTCTTTACGGTCTAGACGTCTATCGCGGCGTTTTTGTCGTCGGATCTGACCTTGAAGTCGCTGAATCTCGTGGGCTTCTTCGCGGGAGGTAGCTTGCGCGAACTCATCAGGGTCATCGAAGAGGCCATAGGTGCCGGTGTGTGCCTGGCTGTGGGCATCTGTCGGCATCGTAAGCGTGAAAGATGACTGATATAGTGGGATGAAGCCCTGTGCTTTAGAGAAGGCTGGTGCTGGGATCGCGTGAGCTGTACGTGGGGTATGCTGGTATGAAAGTTGAGCGCTGACCCCGCTGATGACTCTCCGCGATGACGATGATAGTACAGGTGGCGTGGGGATAGTAGGCGCATGAGACAACCAATTGTCATGGTATGTGACATGATTGCCACACCATTATTGTCCGCCAGGCAAACACAAAGTCGTAAACTATGGAATCACAGAACAACACATCACACAAGTCGTTGTCACGCCCCTCTGATTCACATCAGCTTACCACCTTTGGAGACCCTGGAGCATGGCGAGCGTCACTTCATCAGCAAATTAGCCTCATATATGTTTCAAAGCAAACCACACAAATGCCTCCTATTGCTACACTTTCCTACCACCCACTAAAGCCTCCTGAGCATCCCTGACCAACCCCTCCAGCGCGTCCACCTCCCACTCCATTTGCCTTCCATACTCCCCTTCTGAGCGAACACCACGACGGTACACTCTTGCAAACTGTTTGAAACGCTCTGTAGCCATCAATAATTGTGGTCTATATTCTTCAATCTTGGCTAGCATCTGCATATTGAAGGGCTCAGGTACCACGCGGTAGTAGGTTTCTTGCATGACTGCCAGGAGCTCGTTGGCTAGGCATGTGACTCTTTCGTAGTGGATGAAGAGGGTTTGCAGGGCACTTTGAGGAGAGCGTTGGCGCGGTGGCGTGTATAGGGATAGGGGGTTAAATGGAGTGTTACGGGGGATATTCGACCGTTCGGTAGGTCTGGAGTTAGTATTGTGGATGTTGTTGCGGCGTTGGGACCTGTACTTTTGTTGGAGAGCCATGCAGGTGTGTTTGATGCTGGAAGGTTAGTAGCTACGGAGAGGGTTCAGGAACTGTTTGTAAACATCGAGTGGACGAGCTGTAGGGTATCTGACGAGGGCTTGAGTCAAAGTTCTTCTGATGTGAAGGTATATGACGTGTTCCATTGAAGTCAAGCGCTGCATTCTTGCATTTGGCATCATTTCCGCAGCAGTTTTGGTCATTCTTGTAAGAAACTTGATAGTAATAATTGTTGTATGGTTGTCCCTAGTGCTTGTTTCGATCCAATAAACGCCGAGATGTTCCAACCCCATCTTTACCCATAACACCGCGCAATTCCCTTATAGTTATCATTTTGAAGCAAGTGAAAATCTTATCTTACAGCACGTCTACTGATGTATCTGGCTGACGTGGCCAGCCTGACCAGCACCACCCCACTCACTGTCGTCATCACTGCCAACATCTGTCCAGGAAGTGGGTGTCATGATGCCCTGTCTGTCGTTGTCGAACTCGCTGAAGCCACCTTCTGAAAAGGCATCTGTGAAACCGCCCTCAGAACGCGCGTCGTGGTCCATGTCGTTCTGTTCACTGTTCGGCATGCTAAGGATGGCGACATCGTTGGCTTGACTGTCAGCGACCGAGGCAGCACTCATGGTCATTGAGCGCTCAGAGCGGGGCGTCAGGGTACCGGTGGAGAGGTGCTCAGCGTCGTCATCGAAGAAGGGGTGAGATGGAGCAGGTTCGCCTGCTTCCGAGGTGGAGGATGTGAAGGAGTAGAAGGATTGCGCGGCTTGGTCGACGTCATCCTGTGCGGGCTGTGCGGGCGAAGAGGTCTCAGGGATGGAAGTCTCAGGGTCGGGTGTGAGGTCGACGAGTGTACCAGTGGTGGGTGTTGAGACGACCTCGGGCTGGATGGTAGCAGAGCTTTCGCGAGTGGCAGATTCTTCGTAAGTGAACTCCTTGGGTGCGGGAGCGTCTTCGTCGTAGTCATGGTCGAATAGTACTTGGTCGTCAGAGAAGGGGTTGGCCATGGCAGCAGCGGCAGCCGAGCCGGCGGCAAAGCCAGCAGCACCGCGCTTCTTGAGATTACCATTCGAGTTGTCCGTACCAGTTGCCGTTGCGTTATCCTTGAGCATGCCATCGCTGCCAACCATGTCATCGAAGCTTCTCGTCCGATCAGCCCTTGACCTCTTTGCAGCCACTTCGGCGGTCTCAGCGCCGATCCTAGCCAGTTCATCCAGGTCGACAGCAACGCCCTCTTCCCTTGCCCGCCTGATCAGTTCGTTCCTGTTTCTCCTAACCAGCTCCTCTCTTCTACGCTTCCTCGCTTCGAAGTCATCGGACGATTCGCTCGGGCGGCGAGGCTGAATGTCATCGCCGAGGTTGTGCAGCGCGACGGCGATCTTGCGACGGGTCTGGTCGGCCCATTGTCGGACTTGAGGCGATTCGTAGATGGCGATTCCGGCGGCGACGATAACGGACGCGGCGATTATGAGGCCTGATGTGAAGGGATGGTTAGGACGATGCGGCGGGGTTTGAGTGTTGCCTGGCGAAGACGCGAAGCACGAGCCGGTGCCTGCAAGCAGGTTGGCATAGGAAAACAGAGATATGAACAAACTTGGGATAGGAAGAGAAGAATAATGAAGTCGCTGGGGCAGCACTACAGCGACGTGCATAAGTGGAGTTATTCATACTCACCTTTGGCCAGTGGCGCAGGCATGGCTGCGGACTTTTGTAGCAGCGGGTGCAGTCTGCTACTGAAAGAAGCCCTTGAGAAGTGTAGCGGAAAGGAGGGAAGGAACAAACCCAGAAGCTTTTGTCCTTGAGCGAGCGTGTAAGGAGAGAAGGCTCGAGAGCTGGGGAGAGCAGTCGGTGGTTAGGTCATCGCCACTTGCACAGCCGCACCATGCAGGGCCCGTGGAGCTCCGGGCGGCTTTTGGTGGGGTCGCGTGCCGCTATCTTGCTGCATGCGAAGCCTATCGCCCCGCGTCCGTTAGTCTAACTTCATAACCGTTCCCCTATGATGAGCATAACTTGGACTCAGTTGCGCACATTTCCAGATGTGCACAGCACATCTAAAAAGCACTCTACGATTGTGAACAAGGGCGCAGTAGAACGATCTATCACATGTCATGAAACTCCAGAATTATACACGCTGAATGATATTGAACTTTTAGAGAGCTAAAACTCGACACTAAACTGTAAATAAACCCAAACGAAAAGCATGCCGATATCTGTAAGCCAAGTTGTAGCCATGAAAGCCAGCCTGACCTATCAGACGCTGTGGCAATCCGTTGTAAGTAGCATCGATGTGTAGCCTAGAACACAGCCCTCCATCCGTCTCCAGCCTCCTGCACGGATGTTTGCAGGAACCCCTCTTTGACGGGTAATGAAAGAACTGGCGATGAAAAAACAAGCAACGAAGACAAGACAGACTGGATTAGGGAATTAATAGCAAAGAAGCAAGGAAATTGGACGGAGGCAGCCAAAGGCTCAACATCAGGCTGGCTTGGAAGGCATACTCAAGTCAAGATAAGCCAGCGGTCCGTCAGTCTCCTCGTTGATGTGGAATGGAGTTTTCCGCTGACCGCAAACAGAACAGCAGCCGTTATCACTGTCTGCCTGCTCTGAGGTCTCCGGTATGAAGCCGGGTTCATAGGGGTTGTTGTTGCGCTTAGCCTCCGGGGTGGTGTCAGTCTTCTTGCCCTTGGCCTTCGAGATATTGATAACCTTGCGGCGCTTTCGCGAAGGGCCTTCGTGCTCGTCATCACGCTCTTCATCCAAGATCTTGCGCTTGTTTCCTCCATATGTGGATAAGAAGCAGGCAGTCCGGTAAAGACGAGGGTCGTAGCGCCACATGCTTGTAGTCCAGTCGAAAACCCATGGGTCTGGACTATCGATGCTGCGAACAATTCGAACATCCGGATTCCTGTGGAGTCGAGTACCATCCCAAGGCATGACGCGAGTGACGCGTGACTTGGGAATGAAGCCACAAGCGAGCCACTCGTAATCGTGACCGTCTGCGCAGATCGTATCGCACCAACGGATCTTGGGAAGGATAAGTTTCATGTCGGAAGCCCGTATCTCCGTTATCGACAACCACATATCTGCGCCAGATGCTTTCAGCTGCTGCCAGGTTATAGCAGAGTGATCTAGTGGCACAGCTGTATCACGAATCCACACTGGAGTCGAAACATTGTGGACTTTCGAAGCCAAATAAGTCTCGTCGGGGTGGAAACGTCGGCGAGTGGTAACTGTTATGGTAGTCTCCATTTGAGCCGTGACAGTCGCAGCGATCAAACCATCAGTACTGATCCGAGCGATTGATACACGCATGCCGATCCTCTTACTGTTTTTGTAATGGAAGCCTGCTCTTCGAATTGCATGACCTGATAGTGTTAGCATTCATGTTAGAAAGATGTTTGATGCAAGACCTACTAAGATCATTGAACCCAGAGATGTACGAAGATGGGTTGATCTTTTTGTTCCAGACGAGGTGCCGCTCAATACGTTCTCGCGTCAGATCTGTTGGCAACGAGAACGACCCGATGGATTGGAAGGCATTCTCGTCACTAATCTTCAGGTCCGGAACTTCGCGATGCTTGGGGTGTGTGTCTTTGTTAACAAAACAACAAGCAGTCTGAGATGTCTCGTAAAAGGTCCTATGGATACTTGAGGGCAGTGTACCGCTTGCAGCACGAGTGAGCTCAGGCGCCTGGTCGAACGTACTGTCGGTCGTTAGTCAAGAAACTGTAGACGTTCCACAGTCACTTACATCATGATAGTACCATCCAACAGTTTGGATTCGATTGTCCTTGTCTGGTTTTCCTCTATTTTAGGTAGTATATTCTCGATGTTGTCTGGCCAGATTTTCTCAACATCGCCTGAGCTGGAGATCCTAAGCTTGGAGATCCTAAGCTTGGAGATCCTAAGCTTGGAGAGACGAGCTGCATCGGAGGTAGGCGTTTCTATAGCATGGTCGACCTCTGTTGTCTTGGCCACGCTGCTATCATGGGCTGGTGATAGTGCTTTCGAAGATCGTTTACGGCTCTTGGCCTTCAAGGCAGGCAGACGAGCCATATATGTAGGACTAAAGGTAGTAAAGCTGAGGAGTTACAAGAGAACTTGGATGAGGCTCGACGAATTATCGTGCTCAATCTTGACTGATCAAGAAGTGGATAGTTGGTGTTGCAGAGTTGCAGAGATCGTTCTGAACCGTATAAGAGATGTTTATATACCCGTATCATATGCTGATAGAGAAGTCGAAGTGAGAGAAAAGACACCCTGCGATCGTCCCGAGATAGTAAAGGTGCGCCATAAGTGTGCCAAATACCTTGCCAGATCACAGGTGAGTCTGCCTTCTGTTTCGACTCTTGCAGCACTACCCCGCTTTGCGATAATTCAAGTAAAAGTAACATGATGAATAACTGTTACCCAAGGTGATGGTGACTGAAAATGTATACACCTCACCAAAGAGTTGGATGTAGGTTTTGGATTCAAAGTTTCTTTGTAGTCAGCCGGTTGCAGCTAGATATAGGGAATTCGACAGTCCAGGAAAGAGACCGCTTGACAGTAAGCCAGATATCAGTAGCTCAGCAAGGCCAATGAAGAATCCCCGGGTCGTCAAGGTCGATGATGTATTCGATTTGTTTCTGAACGCAGAGGATCTCTCCCCCAAGATCTTAGAAAAGATGGACAAAGGCCTGCGCTCACCACATGAACTGAAGCAGACGCTTTCGAATAATGCTGGAAAACATATGCGTAACTCTAAAAATACTCGAAAGGTCCATGTGCTGTTGCCTGGTCAGACTGCAGCTCGGAGCATACGTCGAAACGTCGGACGGATGTTCAAGATCTTTCATGTCAGCCAGAAGTAGGGTATTGCGCTTATGCAAGGTCATTTGCTATCTGCAGCAACGTGCTGTTCCCCGATGCCGCATGCTCAAAACCAACTCCAAGCCGACTGCGAACTCCAACTCCTGTGCCCAAGAAACCTCTCAATCAGCTCCGGCCCATGCCTCTCCCTTCCAACATCGCGCAAAGTTTCCTCAACGAACGCATCCGGCCTCCACACATCTCCAACCGTGTAATACAATCGCCGGACCGTCGCCGCGTCTTCATCGCCCCAATCCAAACTCCAGTCCGCCTTCACGCCAGGCGCATAGTAGGACAATTCGAAGAACCCCACTTTATATCCGATTTCGCACTCGAGCATAAAGCTCTCGAGGACAGGCATTTGCTGCGTCGCTTTTGCAAAGGCGATGAGGAATGGGTCTAGGGTGTCTCGATTACCGTGTTGCATGAATTGAGTGTCCTCCTCGTCCCTCGGGGTGCCAACGAAGTACCAGGTACCAGAAGGCGCGACGGGATTGAACGAGATCTTGAGCTTCTTGAGCGAGGGCCACGATGGCATGGCGCACGATTCGTGGATAGAGGGCCAGAACAGCGTCGCGTCGACATAAGCATCCAGAATGAAGGTTGTAAGATTCTGAGAGAAGACGCGTAGCGATGCGCTAAACAGATCGAAGAGTGTGCCCTGTAGGAGACTAGAGGAGGTAGCTTCTCGGTGGTCGAACGGCGCTTCCTGGTGGAAATTGAACATTGCTACTGAGCTAGCCGGAAGCTTCGTTTGCTCAAGTAACCTTGCGAAATTTGATCTTCTCTCAACGCCGGCCGATTGTGCACCCTCTTCGTAGAATTCTGCGTAAATGTGCTTCAGACCGGGCAGAACTGACATGAGCTGGGGCCCAACGGATGGCGATATCTTTCGGCCGTAATTGCCTTGTATCTGGAAATAGCTAATTCGCGAAACTGTAGGTATTCTGTCCATCTCGGACAGCGTGAGATAGGCAGTAGCAAACCGACTCTCGGAATCGTAACAATCGCTCGGGGACTTTGGAGCCGCTAGGTTGAATCGCAACTCGGAAAGAACACCTGCGTCCTCCCATTGCCTCAAGGTCGAGAAAAGTTCAGCAATGCTATGGGTGAAAATTTCGTTGTTGGTCTCTTGCTCCTCACTGCTCTCCATGCGATTGCCCTGCTCTTCCGGGTATTCTGGAAGCAGAATGCTGTACTTCAAGTTCCTCAAATATTTGCACCTATTGCGTGTTACGATGGTCCGCAGTTCGCCAAGATCTTCGCTTTTGATGTCTAGTCGATGGAACGTAATGAACTCAACAGCCTCCTTCCATTGCGAGGATATTGTAGCAAAAGGTGGCAGTGTTGAGGACTTCACGACCACCCGTTGTTGTAAGATATTGGGAATCCCTTCTCGATCTGGATACCGATCGAGAAACATCACCATCCGGTTAATGATCTCCTGAGGTAGGTGATCCATTGTGACGAAGATGCCCTAAGCTTTAGTAGAATGCCACTCAGGAACAATGCTTTGAGATAGGTAGACGTGAGTTCTGAATGTGGAGGTGTGAACAGCGGTGCGCTCTTAAAGTCTTAAAGTGACAGAAACGCACTCGTCCGCGACAACTCAAGCGATAAGCGGGTCGATTGAATGGATGCGGAGTTACAAGCCCAAGGGATGGAACCGGAAAAGAAAGAAAAGGCCGTTGCGGAAGTTTGGGTGGAGCCAGAGAAGAAGAGGAATCTCTTGAGTTTGTTCTTGGATGAGGGCGGAAACGCAAAAGTACGAACGGCATACAACGAATTAACAGATGTAATTGCGGCGATGGAGTACCTGTTTCAAGATCGAGGAAGCACTGCTTGATGAGAGACGGGGAATACCATAAGCGACATCTCTAGTATCTACATATCTCAAGCTGAGCAGGGAAGGAAGCTCGGAAGATAGCCTGCTTGTCTGCGGCTATGTTCGACCTGGGAGTCAAAGAATACATACAAACAAAGCTAAACCTTCGGTGATCAACGTCACTTTATCGTGATGCGATCAGAATACCATTTGTGGTGAGACGAAAGTCGAGCTTGCTCGTACTAGCCCACCCTCCGACGCCAAGAGCTGCGCGTGTCTGATTGGCGGTCGCAACCGCGTCTCAGCGAGCTGCCACTTGCGACACGCAGCACTCGGACGTTCCACCACCACATTCCTGATTATCACAATCAGACGTCTCTCGCTGTAGCTACAATGAGCTCTTCTATAGAGACCGAGATTCTGAACAAGTACAACCTCACGACACTGTACCCCGCAACCTGGCCAGAGGAGAAGGACGAGGCCGATGAAGAGGATACGTTCGACGAGCCAGTGCCCAAAGCTACCCCACAGGCGATCCGCCGGCCCAAGTCGCGATACTCGGTATTAGAGCCTAGCTCAAGATACTCACGGCAAGTGCCGGGTGCAGAACGATCCAAAGATGGCGTGGAGACATTGGTGCAGAAGGACGAGCAGGACCCGTTGGGCATGTACCCGAGTGTAGTGCAAGTGCTGCGGGCAAAGAACATTCAGGTCGAGGATGATATCAAGCTGCGTACGTTTCAGCCATATAGAAATACACAAATGGCCTGTCTAATAGGCATACAGGCAACCGCTTCCTCTTGAGCTCTACTACCTTCTCGCCCTCTCTTTTCCTCTCGCAAGTCCACAATGAAGCCTCCACCGATTCCCTTCTCGCCGGCCTTGACTTTCTTTCCCGCTCTATCGAAAAGAAGTCAGCTTCGCTCAAAGTCCTCGTCGAATCCAATTTCGACCGCTTCGTAGGCGCCAAAGCTACCATCGACCGTGTATACAATGAGATGCGGGATCAAGGGAAGGAGCAACCAGAGGCGCCCAAGGCCTTACAGCCAGGCAGGGAGAGGAGCCGCTCGAGCTTCTCAGGCCGAAAGACAAGCGCATCTCTGCCACCCGCCATGCTGGATTCTGTGCCGACAGAGAAACGGAAGAATGCGCTTGTGAAGGAGAGCGAATACGGTGTGCATGGCATCAAGGTTCCTCTGACCGAGGTCGCGGTCAAAGCGGAAGAAGTCTGGGGCCCTGCACTGAACGGACGTGAAAGGGAAGAGACATTGAAGTCGATTATGGAGTCAGTGGAGCACCACCGCGGGCTATTCGAGGTTGGGTCAGCTATGCAAGACGCCATTCGCCGGAAAGACCACGAAACAATCACCGAGGAATACAAGCGCGCACGAAAGTACGCAGAGGAAGCCCGGTATATTGTCGAGCAGGCAACGTCGAATAAGACGCAACTTACTGATGCCGAGATACACCAGGTCATCGTGACCGCGAGGATGTGGTCAGATGTCGAGCGACAGGTTGAACGTTTCAAGCGCGACTCGTGGAAACGCCTGACCACGGCTCATTTTACACACTTGCAAACCGGGACCGAAGAGACCAAGTCGGATGAATACTTGAGCATCATCTCTATCATGCTCGAGCTCGGCGTAGAGGATAACCCGATATGGGTATGGTTACTCTCACGATACGAACACCTCAAGTTCCAGCTTACCTCCAAATGCCAACATGCGCTGGTTGAGATTGAGATTCTTCGTCGTCATCTGGCAAACGGCGAAAAGACGAGCCTGCGTATGCTACAAAAGCATCTCCGTTCGGTGCCCACTAGCAGCAACGTCAGCGCCGAACCTTCGAAGCTAGACACCCTAAAGGTGACCGAGTTCTGGGAACACGTGTATGCGTCGATGAGCACCTTGCTCTCAAATAAAAGTGGACTACTGGCTGAACTCGTTGAATACTGGGAGATTGTCCAGTCATTCCTCTCTGGTCGCGCGCAACGGAACTTGCCCACAGGTCACCATGGCCAGTCTTCTGTCCATCACCGTCTCAGTACTGAGAATAAAGCTGAGCTTGAGAGAGGCACAACCGAACTCATCACTATTCTTCGGGACCATCTGGTCTCGTTCTTCTCGGACCCTCCTATAGAGGATGTTTCCTTGCTCATGTCGCCATTGCCTACGAGTCCGACACCAACAACACCGGGAACACCATTGAGCGCAGCGTTGAGTCCCAAGTCCGCAACTAGGTTCAGATTTGACCCTGCGAAAGCACCACCACCCTCACCCAGTCGCGGAGAATCTTGGGAGAAGTATGCCTTCTGGCCTCCCAATGCGAATGCGCTTTCGGGATCTCACTATCTATCCAGGATGCTCGTGTTGATTAGCACTGCAGCCAACGAACTTGCTTCGTTGCAAGTTCCTGAGCCTGGAGGCAGTGGTCGCATTGATGAAGCCCTGCGAGCACTACTTGGCGGTGTACGAGAACGTTGCATCCAAGCTGTATGTGCAGCTTGGAATACTGATGCTGAGAAGCTGAAGGTGCTTGAGGACTGGACTCGTCACGTTGATCGCAAAGATACTACAAACCTGCCCCAGCGTTTCCTAGCAGTACAGAGCTTCCTGCTCAACAATCTGCAGAAGATCCTGTATGTTGAGGCATCGAGCAAAACGCGGGTGGACGTAGTTGTACCACCGAGCAACAAGCTGTTGCAGATGGTCAGAAGCCAGTTCGTCACCAGCTTATATAGGACACTGAGTGGAATGGTCGAATGTGCCGAGAAGGGCAGGCAAGCTCTGGGCCCCGAATTCGAGATCAAGGGTGATGACCTCACTATCGACGAGCAAGATGACCAAAATGGTAACGACTTGGGTAGGGTCGACGCCAACAAGAAGGTAAGTCATCTCACATCCGACTATGTAAGTTTACTAACAAATCTCAGTCCATCCGCCTGCTTCTGACTCTCGCCAACATGGCCGCTTTCCAAACGGAGATAACCCCCCAGCTCCTCACCCTCTTCGAGACACTCTTCAGCGTCCAACTCACGGACGAAACTAACCGCATTCGAGACGTCCTCTCTCAATTGGATGCGCAGCTCTTCCGTTCCTACACCAAACCCCACGCCACAAAGATTCACAACACAATCGAATCAGGCATCTTCAGTCCAAACTGGGCGCCGGCCCCCGACGCGCGAAAGAGTGTCGCGGACCGCGACCCCAGCCCATACGTCTTCAGCGTCCTTCTCGACCTCGTGATTGTGCACACGGAATCTTCGACAACGTCCGCGCCGTTAACCCCCCGCATTTTGCGTGCACTGTTCGAGTCTACAACTAGCTCCCTCATCACTACTTTCCAGTCCCCTAATCTATCTTCAGTTTCGCTCCCGCAACTCATGCAAGCCACGCTTGACGTGGAATTCATGGCGCAGACGCTCGCTTCGTATACCACGGAGAAGGCATCGCAGATCCAGACTGATATCTACCAAGTCCTGGACCAGAAGACAGACAACGCGGCTAGAGTGCGGTTGCAGGATGAATTGGGTAGTCTGAGAGTCAGTCTCAAGAGGCTGAGAGAGGGGACGAAGGTGCAGTTTGCCTGCTTCAGGAGGGTCAAGAGGGGTACGCTCGCTGGTGGTGCACCAGGCCAGGAAGGTGAGCAGAGGGGGAGATAGAATCGCTTCTTGAAGGGTAGTCCAAGTATTTTGAGTGTAAATGTCTTGTTGTTCGCAAATCTATCGCTTGGAAATGCGCATAAAGCGACCGTGGTTTTACAAAGAACGCCGCTGATGCATCTATGTCCTATTCTCGTTCCATACTCCATTCCCTGTATTGTTACAAGTCGTACAATATTGTTATACATCCTCAGACCCCGCGAAGGGATGTTGCTCGAAATACCGCAATAGCGTTTGGTAAAGTACCAACATGGTTCCCGACTGTACACTTGTCCAGACCGCACGCGGTCCGACGCCTCTGAACCACCCAGCAATTCCTTCCGTTCTGTATATTATCTTCAAGCCTGTCATGACAGAGGAGGTGTCGAGGGTGGCGGCGCCGTGGGCTTTTAGTGTTGTGGAAGGGGAGGATGTGGAGATGGGTCGACTCTGAGTCGATGGTGGCTTGGTTGTTTGCGATGGGGTGGAGTGTTTCGAGGCCGTGGCGGGCGACAGCGAGGCTTTGGGCGCAATTGGAGACGCAGGAGATGGCCCATTGTGTTGCGTCTGAATGCGCGTCTTGACTACGTCTAGGGGAGTTGTGATGACGCCTGCCATACCGCCCGCGGTCCCTGCCGTTATAATCTCAAGCGGCAGACCGATGTTATTTGAGCCCATGTACCTCTTTGCCCAATCCCGCTCTTCTTCGTAAAAGGCAAACTGCAATGCTGAGAAAGGCAGATCACGCCAGAGCGTTGCCTTGTAGCCATGGAAAAGGGCGCTATAACCTTCAGTTCTTGCTATTGTTCGGGCAGCGTCAACGGTGCCGCGGTAGTTGTAGCCTGAGTTAAAGTAGGGGTTGTTGTAGCGGCCTTGTAATTGCAGACGTGTCTTGAGGACTTCGGATGGAACGTATGCGGGTGCAGCAGCGAGGTCGGCGAGGAGACCTGGGAGATGTCAGTATGGAGATAGACTCGAGTAATTTGGGGAAGGTGTACCGGCTGAGAAGTATGCGACCGAGGGCGCAACCCCATAGTCAATCATGGTTCGCTTTGTCCATTCATAAGCCCCAAAGAAGCACACAGTGCCTGCAAAAGACCCGAGGAACGCTGGCTGAACCCCGCCATATAAGCCCTTTCGAAAGCCTTCTTGCCGCCATATGGTGTAATATGTGTTGCCCATGGATGTGTACTTTGGAGGCATGTGCGGGTCGCCCTGCTGTCGCGTCTTGACAGTGTCCAGTGAATGCATCAACATGTCACCCATCGTTCCTCCTATTCCTCCTGCCAGCATTGCCTGTTTGTGATCAATTGGCATCCCTCATCTCTGCAGACTAGGCATCCTCACATGTAGGTATGGCGGCCGCGCTGCTTCCTCATCTATCTCGTCGTCCATTGCTCCCCGCTTGGTATCCTCCATGGGAAGTTCCACTGCGTGTGCTGTGTTTGCGACATTTCTCCGGCTACCGTCGGTCAGGTTGGTGGTAGAGTCTCCGTTTGTGAGGAAGTTGGCCACGCGGGCAAGTACCATGAGCGCTTCGATGGTAGTGGTGAATACAGAGGAATTGGAGTGTGTGGTAGTCAAAGAGGACCGAGTATGGAGAAGGATTCAATGTGCAAGGGTATACTTCAAAGAGTGACGTTGCTGCCTCTGCGGCCGTGCGATGATGTTCAATCTGGAAAATTTCGGCCAAGACCGGGACCGCGCAGCCCACATCCCTGCAAGCCCTGGCTATCTGCTATCAAAAGCACGGGGACCAGACGACGGCTTGATGCAGTTAAGACTACCTCAACTATCTCTACGCGAATGCTCCCAAGACATCGACAACACATCTGTCTTGCCCCAAAGACAACATGGTGTTGTTGTAGATCAATATATAATCTAGGCTAAGCCCTGCGACATTTAGCGCCTACTGATGACCCACGTGAGCCCCAGCCATCGTGTTTACATCTCGAGTCTCTCTGCATCCGATCAACACCACACCGCCCCCACCTTTTTCGCCCACGACGCATTTTTCTGCTTGAATTTTTGCTCCATTCTGATCGCACGCGTTACGCGACTTGATCCATACCACTCACAATGTCTCACTCGTGGCTTCAGAGGAAGCGCAAAGCTGATTTGATTGACCTTGCGCAGAAGGCTAGACTTCCCGAGTAGGCTAGGAATTAATCTTGCGCATGCATCGGAGCACTGACGAGTGGTTTGCAGTGCCGACGGCTATCTGAAAGACGATCTCGTGCAGATTCTTGAAAACCATCTCAACTCCAACGAGGGCATCTTTGCCAAACTTCCCGAGTTTCGCGACTACTATGGCCGAAATGGATCGCCGATAAAGCGCGAACAGTCTTCGCCGGCAGAGCCTTTGACAGCTACCAAAACGACGCGTCGTCGAACTCTTAACAAGGAAGTCTCGTATGTCGAACCTGAATACGCGTCGCGTCACGCGTCGAGGCTAACATGCGCGCAGCCCAGAGTCTACTCCCATCACCACGTCTACCCCCGCCATTACGCCTGAGATCCGCAGCGTTGTGGCGCGTACGCCAAAGCCGAGAGCCGTCTCTCGTCGTGTTTCTGAGATTGTTTCTGAAGTCGAACCCCAAGCCAAAGCCGTTTCGCGCCGCGTTTCCGGAGTGCTCTCTGAAGCCACACCGAAAGCCGTCTCTCGTCGCGTTTCTGAAGTGTTCAATCAAGTCGACATTCCAGCATCACCTGCCCAATTGGCTGAGGTCGCAGACCAGTCTTTCCAAGAAATCCAGACCAAGGCTGGTGAGCTATGGGACAGGACTCGGATCGATGAGCTTAAGGAATTCATTCGCGAAAACGCAAGCTCGGTGGCTACAATCCAGACAATCATCCTGCTTGTGGAAGCTGTAGGACTGCAGTGGAACACACTCGACACAACCCCATTATTTGCCACACCCCCTGCCCTCAGCTCATACTCCAATAGCCAAGATGTCCGAGGACCAAATCTCTATGCACTCCTCTCGGCTGAGTGGTGGTCACCAGCCACTCTTTGGTCCCTCACTAGCTGGGTGCTACCGCTCATGTTCTCATACTTCTTCAACCTGACTCTTCGCACAAACACCTCGCGCAAGTCCTCGGACCGCCAATATCCTGCTGATCCCCTCATCTTCAACATTGCGCGAGCAATCTTGTCATACAGCGCCTACCGAGGGACCGTCAACATGGCATTCGCACCAAGTGCCTGGGGCCCCTTCTCCGAGTATGCTGTTGCGCGTGTGGGGAACAATGTGCCAGGAGGATACTATGGGCTGCAAATTGGCTCGCTGGTTGGCATACTTGTCAGCCTATACGACGCTGCACTGAAGAAGTAGGCGCTGGCTGGTCTAGACAATGAATATCAACTACCTACGTGCGCAATAGTCTGGTGATACTTGTGTGCTCAACGGCGTTTGGATACACTATACCTTGGATCTTGGGGATGCAACCGCCCTGTATCTGGATGCAGAGGCCAGGGCAGGCGTTGAAGGCCGGGAACGAAGAGTTCGCTGGGCATTCTGGAATAACTCGTTGCCTAATTTATTCTTTATTCAATGAACCAATACCGACTTGAATTGACCTCTGGAAAGCAGCGACCACGAGGCACTCGGACACCTCGGCTGTCGCGAGATCCAAGACCCTGAAACTTGTGTGGGGACGGTCGCGCCTGCTATCGATAGCCCCAAGCGCGAAAAGACCACGCCATCACCCCTCTTCCGCTGCTAACATTGAGCAACTCAATACTGCCTAACCTAATTGTTCTACATATACTTGCTTTATCTACATATCCTAATCGAACTACTTACGAGATGTCGGCCAAATTCATGCAGATGTTGCAGAATATGCAGCAGCGATCGAACCGGTATCTAGCACAAGGCACCATTTAAACGCGCATTGAAGTACTGACGCGTAGATTTCCAGGACTGTGGAAGACATGCGAGACTCTGATGACAAGCTCGCGGGTATGGACGGTATGGAGCTTCGTGGATGGACCCAACAGAATCCTACAGTGCCTAGCCGCGACCTCACAGATCCAGTCGGGCAGACCATTCTTGCTGTTTTCAACAAAGAATTTGATGCGCTTCAGAATTACTGCGAAATGATGATCAAGCAACTCGGAGGAACCGAGGAAGCTCGCGAGACTGTCAGACAAGATGTATATTCGAAAAAATGGGGTCCCACCAAAACGCCCATCTACTCAGTCCTATTGCCAGCGCTACATATGCTCCCCAACAACAAGCAAGATCTTTTAGGCGTTGTCAGATATCTAGTCAACGATCTCAAAGTACCAGTCGACGGAAGAGATGTCGTAGGCAGCACAGCACTCTTCTGGGCAATCTCAACCAAACCCTACGTACAACCAGAATTCGCCCAAATTCTCTTCGATGCCGGAGCTTCTGTCAACACTAAGAACCGTTTTGATGCCACCCCGGGCGCCGAAATCGCTCAAGCCGACATTCACGGCGACACGACCAAGAACGTGCAGATGATGAAGTGGTACATTGAGCATGGCGGAGACGTCGTTGCTAAAGACACAGATGGAATGAATATCAAGACCATAGTCGAAATGATGGGTCAAAAGGTGCCGGCTATGACTGAGGTTCTGAAGAGCGGACATGGCCCAAGGAAAGAGGGAGATTGCACTAATTGTGGGAGGAGCCCGAAGGACGGCAAGCCCTTTCCGGCATGTGCAACCTGTAAAAAGGCGAGGTATTGCTCGCAGGAATGTCAAAAGGTGGATTGGAGGGTGCACAAGAAGACTTGCAAGGCTTCGTAGAGTGTATGGGACGACGGCAGAGGCGGGGACAGATAGTGCTCGAGCATTTCGTTCTTTTGTGCGCGTAAGGAAGAGGCAATAGCTATGCGTACGAAGGAGCTTGTATCTTCCAAGTTATATCTCTACAGCAGATACTCACTAAAAGTATAGATATAATTCTACGTTAAAAGTTTATCAAGATGGTAGCAATGTCTATGTTTTGGGTACAACTTAAAGACAACGAGCTTCTTCGTATCGCGAAGCGTTGGGTCTTGACGTCGCTGGCTACGAAGAGTGACCCTCTCGAAGATGGTAGCGGAAAGCAGTTCAGAATGACAGTAATTCTGCCAAATCAAGGCGGTTAAAGCCACAACAAGACGAGTTATGTGGTACAAGGCATGCAGCTTCTATCAAGCACTGCATGTAGTCGGAAAGTGGGGCATCAGGAAGCGCTAGCATGCATGCAGTATGATGACTACGTCACGCGTAATGATCTGACCGCCATCCTTAAAGTCATGTATCCTTGTCCAAACATTCTTTAGCTGGTGATTACTGTTTTCTCGAAAGGTTTCTGAGTCGTAACAGAATTACTCAAGATGCGATTGAATCCGAATGGGGACGCATCGACCTTCCCTAAACGTTCGGCCTTGCCACACATTGCTGGCACACCAAAGGACAATGCTTGGTTTTGGGTGAGACATCTCTTTCACAGACTTCACATAAAACATACACTAACTTTATCTATCAATATCTCAGGGCGGCAACGACGAACTCGGTCGATTAAACCTCCTCACCCCACAGCGAATAGCAAAAACCACACAAGAAAATGTCAAAACGGGAGAATCAGTATCACTGGACTTGCCATTGAACGTTCCCGGCCCAGCCTTCTTTGGACGAAAAGGATTGAAACATCGCATCAAGAACATAGCCCCCGGCGCTTTCGATGATGAACTAGCATTCAACACGCAGAGCAGTAGCCAGTGGGATGGCTTCCGCCATTTCGCGCATCCAACATATAACTGCCATTACAACGGCGTTATCTCTGACGAAATAATGGCCGATTTAGACGGCGATGGAGAAGATGGCGAAGAAGCACCTGAGCGCTCAAGAAAGCTCGGCATCGATGCCTGGGCTAAGAAAGGCATTATAGGCCGCGGTATCCTCCTCGACGTATACTCTTGGGTCCAGAAGTCGGGCAAAGCATATGATCCTTTCACCAAACACTCCATAACAGCCGATGATCTTCGTGAATGTGCAGAGTCACAAGGCACGTCGTTTCAAACCGGTGACATACTCCTAATACGCACTGGATGGCTTTCAACATACAATGCCCTCTCTATCGCCCAGAAATCTGAGCGCAGCACCATGCCACTAGATCAACACTTTTACGCTGGTCTCGATGCCACAGATCCCATGAAAGATTTCTTATATGACAACTACTTTGCGGCTGCTGCGACAGATAACGCCAATTTTGAGGTTTGGCCGCCGGAAAGCTGGGAGGGGAGTCTACATGCAAGTATGCTTAGCATGTGGGGCATGCCGATCGGAGAGCTTTGGAATTTCGAAACGCTGGCGGAGATGTGCTGGGAGAAGGGGAGGTGGGAGTTTTTGGTTGTCAGTAAACCGGTTGACGTACCTGGGGGTGTTGGGAGCTTGCCGAATGCGGTTGCGATATTCTGAGGTGAAGGTTCGTTGTATGGATACCCAAATTGGATGTTGTTGATGTTTTCATGACCTTCTCATACGTTAGGATTGCTCTTGTGGTAGTTAGAGCGGTTGTCTGTCTTGTTGGATCTGTACTCATTTTACTAATGTGCACATTCATTTGTTGGAGGCCCCATCTATCTACCGATATCTTACACGACAAACATGATATTTACCACGAGAACCTCTTCAAGTATGGAAATCCCAAACGCTTTCAAGGAGGCCGTTTGGTGACGTATAAATCATGTCGTCTTGGATGGGATTGGAGGCTGGCGAGATTCCGCACTAGTAGGCTGTGGGGAAGCAGCCATCGAATACGCGACCTGATCGCGACCGCGCGAACCCATCCTCACACTACATCACCTGCATGAACGCGACATCGCCCAAAACAGTACGCTCCACGACGATCTTTTCGCGTAAGTTTACCCATCGTCTTCGATGCATTATGTAGCGCGTATGGCATACTCTCAGTCTTAAGCTCTTTTGCGTGTCGCTGCGCCCTTCGTTCTACAGCACTACGTCATCGACTGTCGCGTTTGAACACTGAGTTCCGAGCCTTTCTATCCTCCACAGACACAATAACATCCTGCCGCATCATCACACCTTCTTGCTCATCCGGACCAAATAGGCTCGACGTGCTGGCATGTTCGTCGGTAGTTGCCCCCATTGTGAGCGACTGCCAATCGGGATGCAGATGCCTGCACGGCATTTTTCTTCTTTTCTCTGTCCCTTTCGATGACACAGTTACCGTAAAGTCTCCCAGGTCAGAAGGCACCAGTTTCGGATTCGTACTACGCGAATCTTGCCAGGTTGAAGATTTGCGAGAGACCGAGAGTTCAGTGCCTTGGATCTCCGGATATACCAGGCCGCTGCCACCAACGCCAATGATACGCTTGATTCGTGGAACGCTTGCGAGTATCAGGGAAAGACTGGACACAGATCTGGTACCCGTAAGCTTTGGAAACACTCAAATGGATTGAACTTACTGAGTCAGGACGACAAGCTCAACTGCATCGCCTGCGTCTCGTCAGATTCCTGGCGCTTGGTGTCTGTCAAGATTACTTACGCGTGGGATTTTGACTAGATGCTAACCTCAAAGTGGCCCATATTTCACCTCCAGCAACGAATGCTACACTGCAGAGTCAAAACCGCGACGTATTGGTGACCAGCCTATCAGACATACATTGCTCGAACACCGAAGAGCGTCGCTGCTGCGAAGCTTTTCTCTTTGTCCAACGACAATTTCCAAAGGACCGGAACCATCCAAAAAGCCAAGAAAAGGTCTGTAGTCATGTTGAGTCCTACGACTGCGATCGCAAGGCCACCATTGCTACATCGTAGCGAATGTGCAGTCCATTCCGGGATTCCGCATTGGAAAGAGAGAGCAAAGATCGAGAATATCGCAAAGATCGTAATCATGCCGAATAGTATAATTTTGGCTCTTCGGGTTTGTGGGACGACGCGTTCGATGAGCAAAGCAGACGACAGCTTTGCGAATACCATCGCAAAGATTACGAGTATCCCGGCAATGTAGGATGCCTATGATCGCTGATTAGTATTGAAGAGCAATTGGCGACGGAGCGGTCAACCTTGAAGAACAAAGAGATGTTCTCGTCACTGAGATCTTTCACGTCCTTTCCTAAACCACCGCGGATGGCGTATTGCCAACCAACAGTCGCGCCTAGATACACAATCTATGGCGAGGTCAGTATTGTTCGTTCTCTGGAGAGTTGGACTGTCCTACAGTCGCCGCAATGATTGCTACGTCGTCAAGACCGGCTTCGACCTTTTGGCTACGACTCTGCCAGAACCGCGCGACCAGCACGCCTGCTGTTACGATCGCCCATGCATACGTGGAGACGAGGATGAAGCCACCCCTTGTCGTTGTGGCGATGCCACGACCTTCATCCGAACCTGCGGGTACCATTGTGTAAAACCGACAAAATAGTAACGAAGATGGAGCCGTGTGGGAACCGACTGTGGGGAAACTGAATAGATTATGCTAATCGTTGAAGTATACGTGGAAATCGGATCCGAGGAATGCGCAGCTTATGCTGACCGTTGAAGTAAACGTCCCGCATGGCTCCGTCTCACTTTCATCGCACCGACTCTCAGCCACGCACTCGGACAGATGTTGGGTACGTATTTGAGACTATCAACCCAAAAGTATACCCCATGGTTGGGCTTCCAACACGAGCCGTTTGGAGGAGGAATATCATTGGTGTGTTTCCATGATCTTTGAATCCGCCGCATGCTTACTGTCTGTGCATATGCATAGCGGCTAACCCGTTTTCTGCAATCCCCATGTCTATCCGTTGCGCATATCCAAGCCGTACCTCGCTAAAGCGCCTGCTGACGACTCCAACATCACAATCTGCGCGAGGCGTGTCCTAAAGCAGTGCATCCCTTCTCGTTGAGCGGTTATAGCCTCACTGTTGGAAGATGAGATGTTGTCACAGATGGCGTGGGTCCTTCGCCTAGGTAAGCTTGATGGCAATTAGTGAAGCGGAACAGTTCGCTCAACCCTATCTCGATTACTTTTAGATGAGCCCGAGTCGGTGGTATCGCGTACGGACCCCGCAGCACGTTACGTGCAAAAGGAGCCAAATTGCCGTTATTCGCTCCGGACACCATGCGGGCGGCCCCGGGCCCACGCGAGCCTATTTGCTGGAGCAAATACAAATCCCGCGCCCATGCGACGAACGACACGAACATACCCTTATGAGACGCGTGCCGCGTCGGATTTAGCCTTTTGAGTGTAGCGATGCCGGAAAACTGACCCATAACAGGAACGGGTCATTAATTGAGCTTGATAACATACCCTGCATATATTATCAGGCCCATTCATAGCTGCTCTGGCTAGACAACCCAGTGGATGGGTTACCAATCATCATGATCTGTTGTGTAACGCAGCTCAGAGTCCCTGGTGGACACTTTGCAACGTCTTCTCTTTTCTCCGCAGTTCCGCACGTTGCACACTGACCACTGACCACTGACCACTGACCACCGATTTGGGCCCTTTGTGTGCAAGCATGGAGCTCAGCACCTACAAGCCGGATGCTGACCTCGATGTCGCAGAGCGAGGATCCGGCCAGAGTGAAAAACTTGGAGTAACTCCCCCAAATGCGCCTGTAGGAGGACGGACGTCAAACCAGCTCGAAGTAAGTATCATATGACCTGCTTGACCAAGGAGCGTCATTGACGAAAACAGAGGTACATAAACCTTTCTGCTGTGATTAATTTCGCTGTTATTATTCTCGCTTCATGGGAATCATTTGCAGTGACCTTTCAGTTCGCCTTGACCAACGGTGGCCCGGCCTCTATCTTCTACGGTAGTATCTTGGCGGGTATTGGTGCTTGTGCTGTCGGTTTCTCGCTGGCAGAGCTGGCTTCGATGTATGTCTCTACCAACAGATCCAGACTCCTGTTAATTTCTCAACAGCGATCCAACCGTCGGTGCTCAGTACCGCTGGTCAGCCAATCTCGCTCCTGCTGCCCCTCGCTTTTGGGGATTATTACAAGGTAGGTCCACGTACCCAACCATACCTACCAGAGCTCATACTACAACAGGATGGATCACTGTTGGTGCCTGGTGTTTCGCTTGTGCCGGACCGCCTTCCATTCTTGCAAATATGATCACATCGTTGGCAATCTTTAACAACGAGAATTATATCCCTGAGAGATGGCATACCAGTCTTATCATGATTGCGATCATGATTATCCCCTTCACATTCAATCTTTGGTTCCGAAAGCTTCTTGACGCATTTGAAATCACAGGTGGCATACTCCACATATGCCTCTTCGTTGTGGTAATTGTCGTCTTTGTTGTATTTGGACCGCGCAGCGACCCTGAATTTGTCTTCAAGACACTGACATGGCAAGAGTCTGGTTGGAACAATAAGGGTGTGTCTTGGGGTCTCGGCCTTCTGAGTATGACATTTTCCGTCACTGGAGCCGACAGTGTTCTGCACATGTGTACGTCTATGTATCCTGACATGGCGCTACTTCGCTGATTAGCTGTGTAGGCGATGAAGTCAAGAAAGTGCGCACGCGTGTGCCGCGCAGTATCATCATCACATGTGTCGCGAACTCAGTCATGCTGGTCATCTTTGCTACCATCCTCTTGTTCTACATGGGCCCACTCGATGATGTCGTCGCTACGCCACTTCCACTGCTATGGGTCATCTACAACATCACTGGCTCATCAGTGGCAGCCAATGTTCTCACTGCGCTCATAGCGGTGATTTTCTTCTTCGCGCTCTTCAACATCTTTGCTTCAGTCTCGAGACTAGTGTGGGTGTTTGCTCGCGATAACGGCCTGCCTTTTTCCAACTTCTTCTCATACGTATGTAGCCTGCTCGGCTTCGCTTGTTGCGCTGACTGACAACATTAGGTCCATCCTACGCTCAAACTTCCAGTCAATGCTCTTCTCCTCGTCGGGACTATCGTAACCTGTCTGTCCCTGATCTATATCGCCAGCGCAACCGCCTTTAACGCGCTCATCTCCCTCCAAGCATTCGCCCTCCATATATCTTACTTCTTTCCGATTCTGTTCATGCTGCTGCGCAAGATTCGAGGGCCATCTCCGCCATACGGACCATTTAGAATGGGTGTTATCGGTCTACCCGTCAATATGTTTGCGCTATGTTACCTAGTTTTCGTCGTCCTTTGGATGCCGTTTCCACAGGTTTTGCCGGTCACAGGAGATAACATGAACTATGCAGGGCCCATATTCGGTGCTGTAGTGCTCGGGGCCCTCGCGCATTGGTTCATTAGTGGGCATAAGACGTTTAAGATGCCCGTCATCCGGTATGAGTAGGAATAGAGTTTTAACAAGTCTGATTGTACTGGATTCGTTGTTCGGTATGATGCAGATTTGGGAGTAAGATCAATCGGCAACTAAGTGTCGTGTAAATAGAAGAAATGAGAAGCAAGGGTTGTCTCTTATACGGCATTAGCTTTTCTCCTATTGGTTGGGGTGCCACACGGGTAGCCATCCGGCGCAGGGCGGGATCCCCAGCTCCATACACCCTTCGTCACACCGACTGGCTAGCGTACCCCGCCACACACCTGCATATGGCCGCGCCGTAACGTGATCGGGGGAGTGGATATGGAGAAGCAGCAATGAAGGACGTCTCGGCGGTTTGTCTGTTTGTTGTGTAAAATACCCGAAACCCGCATGATTGGCCTTCTCTACAGCGATCTTCGCCTTTGCGAAGGTTGTTTACTCGCGTTACACAGGGCTGACGGGACGACGTCAGATGCTGACGGCTTCAATGTATAAGGAGAGTGGGCAGAAGGAGTGTGAGGACAGTGTGTATAGAATAGACCCTGATATTTCATATTCAGCTACTTTACCGGACGCATTACCACTTGCTCAATCCTCGTACGCCTGTATTCCTATATCAAACTTGGCCTACAATGGCTCCAACCCTTCCTCCTATGCCGTTACCCGGCCTCATTATAGTCCCTGGTTGGACGGCTCAGCACCAAGAGACCTTTCTCATGAAGAACGAAGACACCCCCAAGGGCAAGTGTCAAAGTTTGGTCAGCTATCTCACACCCGAAGGTAAAGCTGGAGCTCCATTTCTTCAGATCAAAGAAGAAGATTCAGATGTCATCCTATTCAGGACGATGGAAGGACAAGAGGCGATGCGGATCAATGTTGAGAGACACAACATCAAGCTCAAAACTGAGTATAGGGCACTGCGGAGTGCGGATGCGAAGGCGATATGGGATGTCCATCTGAGGATCTCATGGAGAGTGCCTAAATGGGGTATGCCGTTTCCTCGATCATCTTTGCTCCTCCTGAGTCCCTTCTCCCGACTAACGTTCGTTCTTATTAGACCTCACAGTCCATGACAAGTACCTCGAAAACCAGAATATCGAGTTCGAGAAAGACGTCGCCGGTGAAGAGAAGGGTCTCCTCGCCAATGGTAATCCAATTATGACTGTCTCTCGACATGCCAAGTGGGCGCATCGGCATGCCGAATGGGAGGTTCATGTAGCGCCGGGTATGGATCTCTTGTTAGCGCTAGGCATGGCATGGATCCGGTCAGACCAGCAGAAGACAGCCGATGCCGCATCGGGCACGGTCATCATGTTTTAGAAGGACCAGCTTGAGAAGGTATGCCTTGAAAGTGGCAGGACGTTTTTCATGTATCAGAAACATCGTGTCTCTTACTCATCCAGAGTTGTCGCGACTCCACATTCTAGCCATTCCCTTGGAGATGTTCGCGCGCTCGTGTGAGTATGATCGCTCGGGTAGGCATCCGATCGTTGGTAATGCTGTGACTTCATCCCCTAAGACGCTTTGTCTATCGTGAGACTTGACCATAGCGTCCGGAACTTCGCGTAGTTCTACGGCATTCTTTTGTTGACCATATGGAGGTCGGGAGAGTACAACACCCGCATCACTGTAATTACTCATCGCAGAATTCAGGCGGCGGGAGCCAGTTCGCGCGTGTGAGAAGTGTGAAGTGAGGGGTGATGTTGCAACCCAAGGCCAGCGACCGCTCATGATACTCTTCCTGGGCCCGAGCTGAGACTCACTCTGGTCGGCCCCCAGCGAGATCCAACTCCAGCCCGAAGGTTTGCGCCATTCCTTCTGGGACGGTCGTGCTACCGGAAGTCCTTGCTTTGGATCCGAGTTACTCTGCTTCGATTGCTTCGAAGGATGGGTAACATAGGAAAGAAATTCTTTGACACTTTCAGGCAACAGTTTAACCACTAATACCCGGATGGATGGTAGCGATACGCAAACGAAGCCTGCCGCAAGCTCGAGCTCCGTCCAGATAGTGACAGGAACGTAATCCCAAGTGGGATCCATAGAAATCTTGAACTTCGTCAAGGTGTGGAGACGAATAATAGTTGCGACGCACCCGAAAGTGCCGATGGCAAACATGAAGCCTACCGCAGCCTTGCGATAACGTTTCATCTGCAGCTTTCGGATGAAGAACAATGGTAGGACCAGTAGAATAATGTCTTGCGCAATGGCACTTGCGGAGTTTGCGTATGCGATGGCCTGGAGGTCCAAACACTTTCCTTTTATATCTCGATTCCAGAAGGACTCGACCGGGTCGCATATGAAGACCGTCAAGAAAAAGATTATAGTCGAGTTGATGATGATTGCGGTCAAAACAACATAAGCGGTGATTCGAAAACTTGTTGTATGGAAGATTTCGAGGTAGAAGAGGACGAGGGAAACCTTGATGAGGCCAAGAACGATCACATAGGTCGACCAGCATATAAAGACTGGCTTCTATTAGCATACTGATGCTTCCGAAGACAGCAGGCATCATGGAACGTACAGAACCGGAGAATGGGTAGCAACGCTCCATCTTCGAGATTCCACAAATGCTCACCAAAGCCTCGTTCAGTCACTATATTGTGTTAGCTGTGGCCTACGCTAGGTGGCGACTGTGTCAACTTACTGGCGAGGGCGCATCCTACAGGCAGTGCGCAAAATACGATGGCACAGACAACAATATAGTCGTCCAACGCCAGCCTTTTGTTTACCAGCTTTCCTGCGATTCGAAGGCATACAAAGACGACGGCTATGGAATAAATGATGCCAGTCCACATGAAGATGTCGAGCCGCTGCGACTCTTTAGAGAGATTGCAAAGATCGGCCTGGACCCTGGCAGTCTCCAAACTGTCCTGCATGGTGCAGTTCGCAAGCATACATGTCGACACTTTTGCTGCAATCTCGGTATTGCTGCAGATACATGCGGTATCATCTAGGGCACAGCCACTTGTGGGAACAGTGGATATCATGCAGAGAAGCTACATATTGTTAGCAGTAATACCAGACAATGTAGTCAACCACGTACTCCGCATGCGGGGATATCAGCAATGCCCAATTCCCTTGTATCCATGTAAGTGCCCGACGCATGTACATGGCTGAAGGTCAGAACCAAACAAATGACTGAAATCAGCGCATAAAGATGCATGTTGCGAATGGTGGCCGCACGAGATGGTAAAGCAGACAAAACATGAAGTCTGGTTAGCAGCACCAGCGAGTTTTCATCAAGACGGATGGCGAATCAGTCTAGGAGATGCGGTGCATTCCAGTGCTGTCAAACTATGTCTTCAAATCTCCTATCGGAGATGGCTTGGAAAGCGTGTTTGGGCTCAGTGTAGTGCTCCGATATTGGAGCCAATCATGTAGGATGGCCATTCCACCATAGCGCGACCAAGATGTTGTACTTCGAGTAGTCTTGCGCCGTCGTAACGGCTTGACTCAGGATTAACCACGGCACATTGTCATGCAAACCAACGCCGTCGGCAGTCGTTGAGACCATTGCGCATTAACCACAGCCACCTAGTCCTCTGCTGCAGGGACAAAGCTTGCGTGGCCAGTCTAACGGCGCTTCTCGGCTGTCCGCATCTTTGCCACGCGATATTCGCATGGCTCTACTGGTTAGTGTTATGACTGATGGCGTTCCGGAGACAAAGAAGGTTTGCGCTACATGAAGCTGTGGACGGAGTTTGCCATGCACAGTATCTTCACGCAACGAAAGACGTACGGCCCGTTAGGGGCGTGGCAGATCGAGTGCGACGCGACACGTCTATCAACATTGCGAAGACGGGCAAGCAAATCGAATTGTCAACGTTGCAATGGCGACACAGCGGCTTTACTTCAGGACGCGCAAGGGAGGTGAAGTTTGTGCGGGAAGGTTGAAACACGAGGGGTTGGGGAAAGGAGGATTTCATGTGCTTACATCATCGCCAAGGTCAATCCGGGGAAATGCTGCGCCCCCAGTTCACATGCATGCAGCTCGGCACTTTGCCGTGCAGTTTCATCCAAGTTTGCGCAAAACTTAACTGACAACCGCTAATTATGGGCTGATCGCCACATGCATAAGTTCATGGATCTCCAGCTGTCAAAACCTTGATAGGTTAGAGACCCCGGAGCAGGTGACCTCCCACTGTCCGTGCTGTGCTCGCGCCGAATCTTCATAGGTATTGGAACCGCTCGCGACACTCAATGCAATTGTGCTGATCGTCTTGCACCGAACCGAAAGTTTTGCGCCAGCTCTCAAGTTTGGTACGTTCCTCCGAGATAGCTTCACATGTGTGCAATAGCATTCGAGGGAACTGCACCATCGTCGCTCTGTTCGGCTCATCACCAGCCTCCTGCACGCGTCCACCAACTGTCACGTATCAATATCAGCCAACGAACGGTCCTGAAAGCATCATTCACACCGCTCAAGTGCGACGCGCACATGTGTCTTGGTCTAGGTGATACCTGGATAAGGGAACGATGCAAGACAAAGACAGCAGGGCGGGGCAATGCGCTCGACGCGTCGAGTGGCAGACGGTGCCATTAACTGGCATAACCGCTGCGCTCTAGCCACATCGAGGACTACTCCTATGCTACTCCGATTCAGACATGCGGGAGAGCTCACACAAGGTTAAAGACCGTCTGCTCCTAGGGCTATCGCGCTTTCTGAACCCCCAAAGCTGGACTCCTTGACACGTATCGTCGATCTTTGGCTTCTGGAGATACCCCGCAACTTTCACCATGATCGCAGCTTCATTGCAGAAGTGCTCCGGAGTCCGCTCTGGCAGAGCCTAGATGCACATTGGTGCGATCTGGCCATGCCTAAAAGGCTTCAGGAGTATAAGAACTGCTTTAGTGCTATGCTTTCGCTACTCAGTCACAGATTCAGACATATTAAGCATTTATTGTAGCGATCTAGGGCTTATACCAGACTAAAGCCAACGCTGAAGGGTGTCTGCGTGCACGAGATGATAGATGCGCTATTCGGGCGCGTCTTTGGGCTGAGGCGTAGGCATTGGAGACGACGATGTTTGTTTGGTGGTATGAATATGGGGCTTGCCGTTTTGTTGCCATGCTCGTCCAGATCGACTAGGTTGTTTGGCGCCCATCGACTAAAGAGGTAGAGATACAAGGTCAGTACATGTTTCGTATGCATTTCGTGGAGTTGCACCTTAACTATGGGCCAGGAGAAGAGACGCTCGGTCGAAGGTTGGAGTTCGGGCAAAGGAGAAATCCAGTCTCGTCTTCGTAGTGAACCTAACTTGCTAATCAGCTTTCTTGCATACGAGAATGGAAGAGGTCATAGTCAACAAAGTCATGCTCAGTTTAGCATCGAGGACATTTTTTGGAATGGAAACTAATCGCATTTCTCGGCCACAGATAATGCTGGGAAGCTCTGTCCAAGACCTCGATGATGTGAAGAAGCTTGCCGAAAGCGGAACGCAAGCAGACGCCATGGCGGTGATCGTCAAGATCCGAGCGGGTATCGCCGCGATCAAATATCTAAACCATCAGAACCCACCCAATGTCAATGGTCGCCTGACTGCGATTGTCAACAATGTTGGCGCTCAGTTTCGAGCTTCGCAGAATGCCCACAACGCTGCATTTCCCAACGACCCAACAACGATCGGCGACTTCTGGTTCGAGTGAATCAGGGCGCTTTACCCAGCGGCTATTACGCACACTAGAACGTGGGCCACGGAAGCCATACGACTATTGCGCGAAACATGGGACAATAGTGCCGACGCTGGGGCTCAAGAGATTCTTGACTTTCTGACAGCATACGAGGGGGATCTGGAAAGTTTGGAGATTGATACGTCATCGATGCAGTAGTTGAAGAGAGTGGTCCTCGTGCAACTCGCGATGCTTGGTTGTATTGGTGGTTTGGTGTTACACATGGTGCTTGCATTGATAGATAGGTGATACATACTGGCCATAATGCCTTGAGAGATCTCAAGATCCTCACGTTAACCTGGTAGAATGGCGGCTGTAATGTGGCAATACAACTTTATCCCACCTTCTTTAGACGGTAGCTGAATATCAGGTCGTGATAACATGTAAGATTTCCATTAGGTGGTTTGCACGTCTCTCCATTGAGGACAGCCGATGGCTGTTACAGCTATACGAAACACCTATTTCGCTCTCTGCATGCAGCATGTGTCAACAACAGATGTAAAACCAACGAAATATGACCATCAGTTTGCAAAGCCACTCGGCTACAGTTTGCATCCAGCACAGCGGCAGTGCGCTATGAGGTGGACTTGGCCCATCATCATTTGTCTGGGTCCCACCAGGCGCCTGGGCCACCAGCTGTACTATTGCCGATTTCCTCGAAGAAATACATTTCCAATTCAAACCACAAACTCAATACGCGTTCGGAAGACATGGTTAACCACCCATAGTAACGCTGTGGGCCGAATCTCGGATTCTTTGGCACAGCAGCAACCGCGTCGTAATCCGCCGCTACACACTTGATCATGCCAAGCTCAGGGCTCGCCAGAACGTCTGCGTCGACTAGGATAAAGATTCGCCATGGACCCTTGTCTTTGTTCAACGGCTGGCCTCCCGTTCCATCGTGGTAAAGCTGCCGTACTTCTTCAAGTGTCAAGCCGTCCAAGACTGCGGGATCTGAACGAGCATCCAGTCTGAAGAGTTCCTCCGCTTTAGCAATCATAGCAGGGTCTTCATTCGATCCTCTATGTGCGTCGAGTCGATGCTTGACACTAGTGGCGATTTTCTGTAGCAGCTTGTCCCATTGCTCATCAGATCCAGGTCCATAATACGTCCGATAGATGGTAAAGCCCCAAGGTTGGAGGTAATCGTCAAGCTTTGACTGCTCTATGCTTTCACCCTCGGGCAGCTTACGCAGGCTGTCAACAAATTTGGTGATCCTGGGTTGCCTCTGCATGGTGGCGTTGGCAAATGTGTCGTGAGGCGGGTTAGGCGGCCAGGCCGATTTCGCGCGGATTGCTGGAAAATTTGCAATGGGAAAAGGATAGCTTGACGATCAATTGCTTTCGCTGCTTTTCTCCAGCAATCGCCTGTTACCGATCGTCGAGTGTGATATCGCGCCACTTGCAAGTTTCGTCGGCTAGAGCCAGATAACAGGAGCCGTAGGCGCCATTGTTATCGAGCTCTTTGTTATCTCTTTGCAATGAGCTGTATTGTGATCACTGTTTTGTTCTTGGTAGTTCCGACGCGAATGTGGCGCAGGCGCAGGCCTACAATCGGTTGCGACATATTCAAGAGTGCTGTGCACGATAAAGATTGAGTTTGGGAATAAAGAAAGTAGAAACGATATAGTATGCAAGATTGGGGTGGACAGTGCAAGGGTTGAAGTAGTGAGATGAATGTTGATATACAAAGTCACAAGGCATGAGAGGCAAATGTTCTGAAGTATTGGGGGAATCTATTCTCTATCTTGTACGAGATGGAATCAGATGAAGGGAAACCATGCAAGTTTTGTACCGTGACGCCGACCATGAACACATTACTCGTAGGCTCATATCGAATAAGCCTGTCATGCAACCCATGAACTCTCTTGCCGTAAACCAGAACCAGGAAGGAAACTTTTCGAAAAGGGCGATCCGTTTAATCGTCCTCGTCGGAGAAGACCTCCTCACCACGCTTGCGGCGGGCCATGCGGTCCTTCTTCTTCTTGCGCATCTCAGAGGAGGTAAGTTTAGCCTTTTTCTTTTGGCTGGCGATCTTGTTTCCCATGGCATCGAACTGAAACGTTAAGTTAGCATATATTATACAGTATATTGAGTGGGTGGATGACTTACCTTCTCCTCTTCTTCACCATCGTCCTTGGCAAGACGGGGACCGGCACCCTGACCTTGCACCCAGTTGTGACCGGAAGGTGTCATGCGACCGTCCATGACGGCCCAGACTTCCTCAGTGAGGTTGGCAGTGAACTCGGCAGAGTGAGTAATGATGATAACACCACCCTCGAAGGTCTTGATGGCCTTGGAAAGGGCACCAAGGGAGTCACGGTCGAGGTAGTTAGTGGGCTCGTCAAGAACGATCAAGTGAGGACGCTGCCATGAGCAAGCAGACAGGACGACCTTGACACGCTGACCACCGGAGAGACCGCGCATACGGGAGTGAGAAACAAGCTCAGCGTCAAGACCAAAGTTGGCGCAGTGAGCCTCAATCTCCTTACGGACCAGAGGACGGAACTGACCGCTGGCAAGAGCCTCCTTCTGGTCAACCTCGGCGACCATCTTGGCGTGGGAAGCCATGATCTCGGAACGGGGAATCCAGGCGTTGTCAGCAGACATCATGGGTGTCCAGCGCTCGTTCTTCATGCCGACGTTCTCTCCGAGAGCGAACGAACACTCGTACTCGTAAGAGTTCTTGAACTTCCTGCGGGAGTTGATGCCGATGACGCGACGCTCGGTACCCTCGATCTTGTAGATCTTGTCCATGGCCTTCTCGTCCTCCTCAGTGACGATCTTGTTGGCACGGTCCATGGTCTCACGGTCCTCACCAGTCTGGAAACGCCATTGAATGTACTCGGAGGGAGTCTTGTCGAGGTGGTGGTCGATATGGGCGAAAGCGTGCTGCTTAATGTAGGCGATACGGATGTTCTCGTGGTGGTAGATCTCACCCTTGGTGGGGACAAGCTCACCAGTCAAGACGTTGACAAGGGTGGACTTTCCGGCACCGTTGGGACCAATGACGGCAATACGGGATCCGAGCGAACATTGGAAGGTAATGTCCTCAATCTGGGGCTTGGAGGTACCCTCGTACTGGAAGCTCATGTTGGTGGCACGGAGAATGGCCTTGGCCTTGGTCTTGACACCCTCAAGGAAACCGGGCTCGGGGAACTTGAACTCCATGTCGGAGGCAGCCAACTCGTGGTAAGACTTGGCAGAGGGCACACGCTTGACGAAGTCGTCAAGGTTACCACGGTAGCGCTTGAGCTTGAAGCGCTCGTAGTGGATGACGTGCTGAATGACGTTGTTCAAGAACTTGCTGTCGTGGGAGATGACAATGGATGTGCAAGGAGAGCTGGTGAGGTAGTCCTCGAGCCACTTGACGTTCTTGACGTCCAAGTGGTTGGTGGGCTCGTCGAGCAACAGAATGTCGGGCTTCTCGAAGACGGCACGAGCGAGCGCAAGCTTCATCTTCCATCCACCAGAAAGGGCACCAATGGTACCGTTGTACATGGCGTCGGTGAAACCGAACTCGTTGAGGGTAGTCTTGACCTCAGACTCGGGGGTCTCGACACCGACGGCCTTGAGCTTGTTCATGGTCCACTCAAGAACGGTCATCTCAGTGTCAGCAGAGTCCAAGTCGTGCTCGACGTAGACGGTCTTGACCTCGTTTTGCTTGGGGAAACCCTCGACCTGCTCGTTGTTGATAGCGCGCATGAGAGTGGTCTTTCCGGAACCGTTGGGTCCGAGGAGACCGTAACGCTGACCACGCTTGAGACGGAGATGGGTCTGGTTGAGCAGAATCTTAGCACCGTAGGCCAAGTTGAATGTGCAGTTGCAGAGGTCCTCGCCCTCCTCCTCATCGGGCTCGACGGCGCGCTCAGCGGCGGCACCAGGGAGAGATCGCTTGCGGGTGTCCTCAGTGACCTCCTTGGCCTTCTCGTCGCCGACAAGGACGGCAACGAAAGGACCGGCGTTAGCCTGCCAGTTAAGAGGCTCGTAGTCCTTCTCGTCGATCAGCTGACCACCAATGGCACCAACGTAGTTGACGACAGGGGTGAAACGGTCGTCGATCTTGATGCTGGAGGGGATAGCAGCCTTGAGGTGGTTGGCGATGGTGGAGATGTCACCAGACTTCTCGATCTCAGGAGCCTTGCCGTTCTCGACGTGACCGACACGGATGAGGGTGTCGAGACCCTGGCGGGTCTTCTCACGAGCCTCGGGGTCAGCCAAGTTGTCGTGGTTCTTCTCAAGCGCGGGCATGAGACGGGGCAAGAAAGCGGCGACAATCTGGGGGTCCTCGACAAGCTTGCACATGTTGTCGATAATGACGGCAGACTTACGCTTGATGGCAGTCTCGCGCTCGACGAGACCACGCTCAAGCAGGGGAACCATGATAGCGAGGGTGGGCTCGTGGACGTCAGTGACGAAAGTGGTGGCACCGAGCAAGTGAACGGTCTCGGGGACGTTCTCAGGCTTAGCGATACACTTGATGAGCTCGGGAATGAAGCGCTCGATATCCTTGTTGGAGATCAAGGAGCAGAGAACCTCCATGGTGCCGTAGGCAGCCTTCTTGACCTCAGGCTTGGTGTCCCACATGGCACCCGAGATGACGGGAATCAGGTCGGGAACACGGAAAGCCATCTGTGCGGGGGCGCTCTTGGTGAGGACCTCGATGCACTTGAGGTCGGTCATCTTCTCGGGCCACTTTTGTGCGTTCTCCAGCGAGTGGATGATGTGGGGGATGATGGCCTTGACGGCGTTGGGGTTGGCAGCCATGACGATGGACTCGGCGGCGGTCTGAGCAGCGACCTTGACGCCGCTCATCTTGTCACCGACCGCGGCCAGCACGTCCGGCAGGAGGGAAACGAGGTAGGGCTCGACAGAGGCGGAGACGTGCGAGTGCTGGGCGATAGCACGGATGGCATCGAGAGCGCGCTCACGGGCGACGGCATCCTTCTTGCTGGCGAGTTGCTTCTTAAGCACCTGGACAGCCCTGGGAGAGTTATTAGAGACTGCAACGTGGCAAGCGAGAGGCAGAAGGGGGGAACATACTTGGTGGGAGCGTCAGCCTCCTCAATGTCGCCGTTGATGAAGGTGGCGATGGCCTGAGCAGAGGCGTTGATCTCGTCCTGGGCCTTGGACACGGTCAACTTCTGCATCATCTCCTCAAGCGCCTTGAGCGACTTGGAGTTCTCGGACTTGATGTCCTTGGCATCGTGCGAAGCAGCAGGCGCCATTTTGTCGGTGATGTGTGGAGGGGGAGAGGTGTGTAGAAAGAAGGTGGGTGGAGGGGCGGTGGTCCTTATATGGACTTAGGCGGCGGGGCCTAAAAAACTTTTGGCGTGAAAAGATAGAGTGAATCTATCCGGGGGTATCAAACAACAGGCGCGAGAAACGTGACTCGCAACCTTTCTAATACCTGACGCAACGACACAAAGAAGGGAAAGTACTTTGGGTCAGCCCAGAGGGAGAGTGAGTGTGGAGAGGTGGCAGTAAAGGTTATGGAGGGGCTTTTTATGCCTTGGTGGGCTGTCTCGCTCGCTTTGAGAAATTTCTCCAGGCCAGGGCGCCGATAAGATTAGCGTGCACTCCAGGACTGGCCCGTGCGGCGAGGAACCGGACACCTCGCCTTCTCGCAATTGCCCATGATTTCATTCGAGCCCGAGCGAACGCCAGAGATTTCGCTGTTGCCGCACTTCCCCAGTTTTTTGTTACCACCTGCCAATTGCCCTCTCTATTTACTGGTGGCAGAGGGGCAGCAGCATTGCCGCCGCCGTGAGCCATGTCGCAGCCCACGTTGCAAAAGCCCTTCTATTTGTGGCGAGTTTGAGCCAGGCGCGCTGACCGCCTTCTCGAAACACCGTGACCAACGACATGCATCCAACCGTTGGGAGCCGCGGGAAATGCAGCGCTGAAGATCAGGGACTGCACTAATCCAACCCGACCGCCATTGTCAGCATTCACATAGTACTCATATCAAGCACGGCACCCGTATGTCCCATGTCTGCAAAATCTTCCATCTCGGTCGTTGAGCGCCGTAGAACTCAACTTTCTTCTAGCTCAGTCTACATACGGGTGTTCCCATACTATGCGGTAGCCTTGCCGGTTACTGTTCGTACAGCCTTGCCAAGTCGTCGCGCTACGGCCATTTTAGCGGAGGCTCCAGACTTATCCCAAACCACCTCCCCGATTCTGCCGAAGTCGAGGCGGCAAGCATTTCTGGACCCTTGCCACCTTGTCCAGA